GGCATAAATTCATATCTATGGAAATGTGGGAAATGCCCCCTTCTTTCCATACAGCCATCTGCTAGGCTAAAATTCAGAGGAGGGGCATACAACTTACAACAACAAAAGGGGAACAGAGACAGAGAAATGACCAACCATCTCGGCTACATCTAATTCACCCTCTTTTACATTTCAAATGATCAGTGTTTCCACTAATCTCCATCATGCCATCGCCAGAGGAAGGGGTGCCCAGCCCCCTTCCCAAGGACTCACTCCTGGCCCTGAGCTGTATATCCGGCCCTCCTGCGTCCTCAGAGTCTCTGCAGGAATGTCTGGCCTGCCCCTGTCCTAGAGTCAACTCCAGCTCCACACAAACACACATAACCTGGGCCAAATTTGACCCCCACCCAATGCTCTCCTGGCTTTTCTTCTTCTTTTTACTGTCAAACTTCTCAAATCTGTCTCAGTGCGTGCATCTTCTCCCTTTCCTGATCACACACCCACCTCTGAAAGCCCTGTACTCCGGCTTCTCCCACATACCCTTGCCCTACTCACTCACTTAGGGCCTTCTCCAGGCCTCACTGTCCAGACGCCTGGGCAGCACTGGGTGCCGTTGGCCACTCACTCCTTGATTTGGGGGAAACTTCAGCCTGCTTCTCTTCCAACCTTTCCCTCCCTCACGAGCTCTTCTTGTCTCCTGCCACTGGTTCAGCATTCCCAGGTGTGCAGACGCCTTTCTGGTCTCGCTCTCGATCACCAACCTTAGATTTCCCTCAGTTGGCTGAACACTCCACTTGAATATTTTTCTTGAGCTGAAACTCAAAATTTCTAAAACCCACCATCTTCCATCCCAAACCCACCTTACTCTTTGGCTTTGCCCACTCTGTCAACCAGGCTCAGATTCTTGGGGTCTCGTTGATTCTTCCCCATTTCACAGCCATGCTTCCCATCAGTCTGAGACAGAGGCAGAGCGCCTCCCCCAGGGAGTCTGACAGACGTCTAACCCAGCGCCAGTCCACAGTGGCCCTTCCACCTCTTGGATCCTCTGTCCACATTGCCAGTAACACCAGTCAGCATGTAAATGTGGCCCCATATTGTCAGCTTCCGTTCCCCTCCTCCTATTCCAGATTACTCACTCCTTGAGGACAGAGACCCTCTGTGGCACTGAGTAATACGTGTGGACATTCACAGCGACTGCAAATCACAACCCAACTTCACACTGGCTCTCAGGTCTATGTAGCCACCACCTCTGGAGCACTGATGAAACTAAGCTCTTGCCAAGTGTGACTTCACTGCATATTCACAGCCACCCTAGGAAGTAGAGCTCATTACTCCTCTATTACATGGGAAAACCAAGGTTCGATTTGGCTAAATAAATGGCTCGGGTTTATGTGACTAATCAGCAGGAGAGCAAGGGAATTCAACCCAGACCTGCCTATCTCCAAAACACTGTTCTGCACATTTTCTCAGCAGGAGCGCCTGTGTTCAGTGCAGAAACAAATGTGCACTTGGGTTTTCAGGCTGTCTGGTGTACCTACTGCGAAACACTGCAGGGAAGAAATGAGACCTTTTGAACAAACAGACCATCTACGTCAGAATTTCTCAAAACCAGTGCCACTGGTGTTTGGGGCACGAGAGCCCTGTGCTGTGTACCTCGTGCTGTGCATTAGAGGATGGCTAGCAGCATCCGTGACCTCTACCCGCCATATGCCAACAGCAAGTCTCACCCCAAGTTGTGACAACCAAAAATGTCTCTAGCATTGCCAAGTATTCCCTAGGGAATGAAATTTGCAAACCACTGCATTCAATTTTAAAACAAGCTGGTCTCTGGCTGGAGCCGCGGCTCAGTAGGCTAATCCTCCGCCTGTGGCGCCGGCACACCGGGTTCTAGTCCTGGTCAGGGCGCCGGATTCTGTCCCAGTTGCCCCTCTTCCAGGCCAGCTCTCTGCTGTGGCCAGGGAGTGCAGTGGAGGATGGCCCAAGAACTTGGGCCCTGCACCCCATGGGAGACCAGGAGAAACACCTGGCTCCTGCCTTCGGATAGGTGCGGTGCACTGGCTGCAGCACGCCGGCCGCGGCGGCCATTGGAGGGTGAACCAACGGCAAAAGGAAGACCTTTCTCTCTGTCTCTCTCTCTCTCACTGTCCACTCTGCCTGTCAAAAAAAAAAATAAAAAATAAAACAAGCTGGTCTCAAGAAATTATAAAAATGGTATAAGACAGAGTATAACAAGATTTTCCCACTTGAAAATGTTAGGCACATATTTCAAAAGAGTTGTTATTGCCCAAAATAGCTATATAATTTCAGAGCCTAGAAAATTCTTTCAATAGTCTCCGTGGTGGCTAGGCCCAAAGAACTGTTGCAAAAATATTTTGAGAACTGAATCACAAGACTGATGCCTCCAGAAAGAGACTGCAGAAGCTGGGAATTCTTGCTGGATGTCTCAGCGCTGGCTTGCTCCCCCAGTCAGCCCCACCCCTTCAAGACCACACAGCTCAGTCTGTGCTTCTCCACCGACAGTGAGTCCTGTGCCACTGCGAGCTCCATGAGGGACGGAACTGGCCACCTCGCTGCCTGCTATCAAACCTCCACACTCTGCTCAGCCTAGGCAAAGCCTTCAGTGAATGCTCCCTGAGTGAATGACTGAGCGACTGGCTAGAATCAGACAGCTGATGAGGACCTAATAAAATAACTGTGTTTTCCAGACAAACATTAGACAGAGGAAATGTGGACCTCATGGGGGAAATGATCGTGGCAGGGAAAGATTCCACGGTCATAATAGGAAACCACTCTACTCCCTAAAAAATGAACAAGTGGTCAAAAGAGCTTAAATTAAATGCACTATTTCTAACCTAGGCCTCAGCATTTTATAACCCAAGGACAGCAATAACAAAATTGCTTCTAGTACTTAAGATCTCACTGTGTGCCAGATACCACGTAAGGGATTTTTGCATTTTCTTATTTGACCCTGGCAATGGCCCATGAGATAGACATTAGAATCCTTAAAAATGAGAACTCAGTAGGGCAACAGAGGTTAAAATTCCTGCAAAGGTCACAGAAGCAGTAAGTGACAGAGCTGGGGTTTAAATCTGGGTCAGCCTGAAAACACTCCAGGTCCCAGTCACTACTCTGTACCACCTTCTAAGGACATAAAGGAATTTAATTTGCTGACCAAATGGATTTGTTGATTTGTTTATCAAGTACCCCCAGATTAGAATATCTCATGGAAGATGTAAAAATTGGTAAATAAGCACTGTCTCTGTTGTAAAGGGAGTTGCAATGTTGAGTATCATGAATCCTTTTACATAGAAGCCCTTCCATAAACATGTATTGATGAGGGCAGGGGTAATATCTTAGGAAAATGTGAAGGTCAGAGCCAGTACTGTGGCATAGCGGGTTAAGCCACTGCCTGCAGCAACACCATCATTCCATATTGGTACACTAATTCCAGTCCAGTTTTTCCACTTCCAGTCCAGCTCCCTGCTAATGCACCTGGGAAGGCAGGGAAAGAACGGCCCACGTGCTTGCAGCCCTGCGGCCCATATGGGACACCTGGATAGAGTTCCAGGCTCATAACTCGGCCTGACCCAGCCCTGGCTATTGTGGCCACTTGGGGAGTGAGCCAGGAGATGGACTATCTTTTTCTTACTGCTTCTCACTCTCACTCTGTCACTCTGCCTTTCAAATAAATAAAATAAATCTTTAGAAGAAAAGAAAAAATTTTAAGGAATTTGTTTCAAAATAAGAACAACTTTGTCTTTGGTTATACTTCCTTTAATCCACAAACTATTGAAATCAGTGAAAATTAAAACAGTTCTTTAAAGGCAACAAATGTTATCTTAAAGCAATCTTATAGTTATATTTTATGAGTGAAACTTTCATTGAATTCAACAAAACCAAAAGTTCGTATTTGAGGAAAAGCGAATCAATATAGGGACAAGATAATAAACCAGTCTTCCCCAACATCTTTATGAGAGTTGAAACAAAGGCTTTGACCAGTCTTTTATTAATTCATTTCAATCCACCACTGTACTTTCCTTTTTGTTTATGAACTTTTTTTTCTCCCAAAGTTACACTTGTGTGTATTCATTAATTCTGTAATGATTTCTATCTATTTAGTGCTTTTTTGTCATTAAATATAGTTTGGGGCATAGGTTAAAAACACAGCTTCCAAGGCCAGCAATAGGTCACACTGGGTTAAGTCAGCTGTTGAGATACCAGCACCCGATATGAGCACTGTTTCTAGTTCTATTTCTCCGCTTCCAACGCAACCTTGGCCACTGAGGGCATCTGGGGAGTGAACCAGCAAGTGGGAGCTCTCTGTCTGTCTGTCTCTCTCTCTCTCTCTCTCTACCTACCTACCTATCTAATCTATCACTGTTTCTCAAATACATAAATTAAAAAAAAAAAAACATAGCTTCCTCATTGCTGAGTAAAACCAATCTGTCTCTTTGTGCACCAAGCTACAAAGGAAAAAAGCCAAATGATACCTGACAACAACTGACACAAAAGGAATAAGGTCCAGAGAATCTGAACTTCGTCTCACTTTACCTGCATTAACATGTTCTCAACATCTACGAACAACTCTTTGGCTTCGTTGGTCTTTCCCATAATCTTCAAAAGACTCCCAATAAAGAACAACAAGCGACATCTGTCCACGGCAGTAAGCCCAGAAAGCCTGGACTCCAGCGCTGGAGTGGAAAGAATAGTAAATGATTCTAGAGAATATTCTGAAAGGAGCAAAAAGTCACTGCTACTCTTGATACAGGAGTCAAAAATGCTCTCTGTAGTTCAGTTTTGTCTTCAAGATATTAGCATTTTGCTTTTATTAAGGTTTATATATACTATCAAGCATTTTAAATTATGACATGAAAAATAACTATAATTCTTTAATCTTAACATATAAATTTGGGAAACCATAGGGTCAAAAAATTTTTATAACTCAATTCATGTTTTGCTATAATTTATATTACAGGGTGTTTTTCAGGCAGGAACAAAAAGAGGTTCTTACTTCTTATACAATTCTGCCCTCTGTTGTGACTATCTTGAATTGCCAGTTTCAACAGAAAGAAAATATTAAAAGAACAAAATTAAGAGTATGTATGGGGGCCAGCACCATGGTGTAGTGGGTAAAGCTGCCACCTGCAGTGCCAGCTTCCCATATGGGTGCTGGTTCTAGTCCCAGCTGCTCCTCTTCCCATCCAGCTCTCTGCTATAGCCTGGGAAAGCAGTAGAAGATGGCCCAAGTCCTTGGGCCCCTGCACCTGCATGGGAGACCTGGAAGAAGCTCCTGGCTTCAGATCAACACAGCTCCAGCCTTTGCTGCCAACTGGGGAGTGAACCATCAGATGGAAGACCCGCCCCCCTCTCTCTCTGCTTCTCCTTCTCTCTCTTTGTAACTCTGACTTTCAAATAAATAAATAAATAAATATTTTTTAAAAAGAGTATTGTGTACTTATAATTTATACACAAATGAAAATATAGAATTTTTGAACTTAAAGACATAATTAAATCCATAGTGCTACAAAGTCATCATTTTCAAAATTTCTCTTCTTATATGTCCCAGTACCTAAATTTCTACATTCACTCATTTGTTACATTTCAAATTACTGTTTCTAGTGTGTTGGGGACAAACTTATTCCTTGTTCCTTACCCACTCCTTTTCTCAAGCTGGAGACCAGTCCAACCTTGCATACTCTAATTTCCTGTTGCTCACTTTTCTGTAAGTCACATTCATGTATACAGCAAATACTGAGCATCCACTGTGTGTCAGGCAGCATTCTAGGCTCTGAGCAGGCAGACAAGGCTGAAGGCCTCAGCACAGCAGGGTGCTGTGAGCTTCAGCAAAAATGGAAACAGAGTCAGTGGAGAAAGAATGTCAGAGCTAGAGTACAAGACATTTGTCCAAAGTCCAAATGAGCCTACGGTGGGAATGAGAACCCAGGGGGAGAACTACGAGGCAGAGGAGCCTCAGAACTGGAAGCAGCTACTCAAAGCAGGCAAATGAGAGGGATCTGGATGAACAGAGAAGGGACAAGTTTCTGCTCAGGACAGGGTTCAAAGGATCACTGGTTCAGTTTCTTGCCAAGAGCTCCGATTGCAGTGGGTGATGTCCACCACTACATTTACTATCACTCAATTCAACCATCTCCCATGCTCCAAGTAACCTTCATTCATGAACCCTAACTCCCACTCCCCTCGCAGCAAGAGATAGAACAGATGAGGAAGTAACTTTTCGTGTCATAAAACTGATCTGAGTACATTATAGAAAATATGCAAAATTAGAGGGAAGAGTTAGAGAGAAAAGAGCAGAGGAAACTACATAAATTGGAGGAACACAGTAGACCTACTGGAGGGTGAAGATGCACACAACTTAGGACCCCACCAACCAAGAGCCTCCATGCCAGCACTGGAGAGAAAAGTGAGACCAGACTGCAGCAGCCTAAGCCACTGGCGAAAAAGCTGCAGGAAGAGCCTAGAGGAGATCCGGCTTGGAGCCCCGTGGGGGACAGTGTACCCACCAAACTGAGGAGAAAGAACAAGGGAGGGCACGTTTTCCCTTTCCCTGATCATCCTGCAAAGGCACAAGCTAACAGAGAGCAGGTGCCATTTTGGACAAATATAATAGCTGCACCAGCTTATGTCCACGCTCAGCAATGAGCCAAACTGAGACTGCTGAGTCTGGTGGGGAGAATAGACTGTTGGCTGGGTGCTTGTGACTGTTGGAGGCTTGTGTGCCAGGACTGTGAAAACACTGAGGCTGCATGGGTGCCGGTTCTAGTCCCGGCTACTCCTCTTCCAATCCAGCTCTCTGCTGTGGCCTGGGAAAGCAGTAAAAAAACAGCCCAAGTGTTTGGGCCCCTGCACCCACATGGAAGACCAGGAAGAAGCACCTGGCTCCTGGCTTCGGATCAGCACAGCTCCGGCCATTGTGGCCAACTGGGAAGTGAACCAGCGGATGGTCTATATTCCCACTAAACTAGGGTCTTTTTGCTTCTTATTTGTTAAACTTCTTATTTGGTAAAATATTAAGGCTTTTCGCTTTAATGTAAATTTAAAATATGTTATCTCAAAAACTAAAAAAAAAAAAAAGACACAAGGAAGAAGGGTGGGAGGAAAGAGGGGACTATCACTCTGCTCTTAGATTTGTATTTATAAATCATATTGAATCTGTTAAAATTAATTAACATTAATTTTTTAAAAAAAATCATTGCCAATTTTGTACTTGAAAAATAGCACCCACTTTCGTTTCAATTTGCATTTCTTTGATTTCCAGTGAAAGAGAATGTTGTAATATAACTATTAACAATTTATAGTTTTTCATCAACTCTTAACATGCTATGAATTTCAAGATGCATCTCTATTTCTGTAAGTTTTGAGAAAGCATGCACTTTAAAACCAGTGAAATCTATTATTTATTTAGTGAACTCATTTCTCCAACAGCCATTTACTGAGAACCTTAGGTATCTACCATGAACCCAGAGCAGTCCTGGACACAACAGATAAAGGATAAGCCCAGTGAGACCCAGCCTGTCTGTTGTGCTGTCAGAATAACAAGGGAAACAGATCTGCATACAATCATATAAGTGAATATAAAATTAAAGTTATAAAAATAACCATGAAAGTGGTAGTGGTAAAATGGAGGAAGGTTCCTCCTTGGAAGTGACCATTGAATTAAGAGTTAAAGAAAGGGACCGGGGCTGTGGCATAGCAGGTAAAGCTGCCACCTGTAGTGCCAGCATCCCATATGGGCACTGGTTCAAGACCCGTCTGCTCCACTTCCAATCCAGCTCTCTGCTATGGCCTGGGAAAGCAGTAGAAGATGGTCCAAGTCCTTGGGCCCCTGCACCCATGTGGGAGACCTAGAGGAAGCTCCTGCCTCCTGGCTTCAGATCGGTACAGCTCTGGCTGTTGCGGCCAACTGGGGAGTAAACCAGCAGATGGAAGACCTGATTCTCTCTCTCTTTCTCTCTCTCTGTAACTGTGACTTTCATGTAAAATAAATAAATCTTTAAAAAAAAAAGTTAAAGAATAGAAACCTTTGAGGCAAAATGGGGAGAGGGAATGTTGGGAGTGCTGGGCAGGGGGGATAGCTGTGTGAAGGCCTCAGGGCAGGAGAGAGCACGGAGCTTAGAAAACTGGAGAGGGCTGGCGCCGTGACACAGCAGGTTAACACCCTGGCCTGAAGCACCAGTATCCTATATGGGCGCCGGTTCAGGACCCAGCTGCTCCACTTCCCATCCAGCTCTCTGCTATAGCCTGGGAAAGCAGTGGAAAATGGCCCAAGTCCTTGGGCCCCTGCACCCACGTGGGAGACCTGGAAGAAGCTCCTGGCTTCAGATCAGCACAGCTCTGGCTGTTACGGCCAACTGTGGAGTGAACCAAATAAATCTTAAAAAAAAAAAAAAAGAAAAAAGAAACTAAAACTGAAAGGAGGAGACCATACATCAGAGAGAGCAAAGGTGATTTGGTCAAGATGGGATGGAGGCATAGAGAGGGATACACCCCACACCCAACAAGAGAGGAAGGTCCCTAGTCTCAAGGAACTGATATTTCCAGTGGCTGAGAGGGTCTGGGGCAAAGGAGGGGGAGAAAATCAGAAGATTTAGAAAATTACAATAAAAAGGAAGTCAAGACCATGACAGATAGTAATAAAAGCTATGCAGAGAATTACAGTACATTCACATACAGAGAATAATTAGTTTTACATTATGCTATGGATGCTACTCTGAGAAAGTGACACTTCAACTGCCATCCAGAAAGAACCAGTACTACGGGTTGAGGATCCCTTATCCAAAATGCTTGGGACTACAAATGTTTCTGATTTCAAGAGTTTTTCCAAATTTAATTAATTAATTTATTTGTTCACACAGACTTTCCCAGTTGAGCACCCCTAATCTGAAAATCTAAAACCTTTGAGATCATTGGTGCTCATATGTTTCTTTTTTTACAATAGTCTTTTTTTATTTTATTTTTATTTTTATTTTTGACAGGCAGAGTGGACAGTGAGAGAGAGAGACAGAGAGAGAAAGGTCTTCCTTTTTTGCTGTTGGTTCACCCTCCAATGGCTGCCGCGGCCGGTGCACTGCGGCCGGTGCACCACGCTGATCCAATGGCAGGAGCCAGGTGCTTATCCTGGTCTCCCATGGGGTGCAGGGCCCAAGTACCTGGGCCATCCTCCACTGCATTCCCTGGCCACAGCAGAGAGCTGGCCTGGAAGAGGGGCAACCGGGACAGAATCCGGTGCCCCGACCGGGACTAGAACCCGGTGTGCCGGCGCTGCAAGCCAGAGGATTAGCCTAGTGAGCCACAGCGCCGGTCTACAATAATCTTGGTTTCAGATTTTGAAAGTACAGATGCTCAACCTGTACAAATATGAATGGAAAGAGCATTCCTGTTAGAGTGAACTTCCAGTGCCAAGGCCCAAGGGTTGAATAAATACACTTGCAGAGAGAAAACCGGCCAGTGTGGCTGCCACCTAGAGGAAGAGGAGGAATCTTATAAGATGGTGCTGCCCAGGAGGGCAGAAGCCAGATTCTATTAGATAATGCAGGCTAAGCCAAGGAGTTGATCTTTTATTATAAGTGCAACTGCAGGCCATTGGAAAGGTCCTGATCTAAAACAATGACACGGTCTGGTTTAAATCTTTAAAAAATTCATTCCAGCTACTGTGTACGGTAGACAATGGGCTGTGGCTGTAGAGAAATAAAAACTAAAGTAGGAAGACAAGGAAGGAAGCTATTAAAATAGGCCAGGGAGAGTTAATAACGGTGGCTTGGGCTCACTAGAGTAACACTAGAGAAAAACTGGGGTTATAATAGCTCCTCTTATCGTTCTTATTCAACATCACGCTGTGGGCCAAGCTAATGAAATAAGACACAGGGGAAAATGCATACATACTGAGAAGGAAGGAATAAAACTGTCTTTGTTCACAAATGATATGACGTCTATGTAGAGAATTCTAAAGAATCTTGAAAAAAAATTCCTGGGACCAACAAGCAATTATAGTAGAGTTGAAGGATACAAGATTGGTAGACAAAACTCAATTAGTTTCCAATGCGCCAAGCAACAGACAGTTGTAATTAGAACTTTAAAACATAATGCCAATTATAACAGCATTAAAAACTAAATGCATTGGTATAAATCCAACAAAATATATAAAGGACCTACATGCAGAAAACCACAAAATTCTGATGAAAGGTATCAAAGAAGATCTAAATAAATGAAGAGATATTCCCTGCTGATAGACTGGAACACTAAATATCATTAAGCTACAATATCTTCCCAACCTGATTTATAGATTCAATGCAATTCCAATCAAAATCCCAGCCATCTATCATGTAGATTTTGACAAACCGATTTTAACATCCATACAGAAAGGAACAACAACAACAACAAAAGAATAGCTATAAAGGCTGACCATCCCTAACCCGGATATCTTAAATCCAAACTTTCAGATTTCATAGTTTCACTATGGGGATGCTCAACTAGTAAAATCTATTAGAATATTGCAAGATATAAAAATTCTAAAACCTGAAACATTGGTCCGGCGCCATGGCTCACTTGGTTAATCCTCCGCCTGCGGCGCCAGCATCCCATATGGGCACCGGGGTCTAGCCCCGGATGCTCCTCTTCCAGTCCAGCTCTCTGCTGTGGTCCAGGAGGGCAGAGGAGGATGGCCCAAGTGCTTGGGCCCCTGTACCCGCATGGGAGACCAGGAAGAAGCACCTGGCTCCTGGCTTCGGATTGGCGCAGCACCGGCCACTGCAGCCATTTGGGGAGTGAACCAGCAAATGGAAGACATTTCTCTCTCTCTCTCTCTCTCTCTCTCTCTCTCTCTCTCTCTCTCAATAACTCTACCTGCCAAATAAATTCAAAAAAAAAATCTGAAACACTTTTAGTCCCAAGCGTTTCAGATAAGGGACATTCTCTCTGCATTAGTTTCCTAGTTTCCTGCTAGAGTAAATCACTACAAACTCAATCCAGGTCTCCAACAGGGTGGCAGGGACCCAACTACTTGGGCCATCACCCGCCTCCTTCCTGCACGCACATCAGTAGGAAACTGGATCAGAAGCAGAGTGAGCAGGACAACAGTCGGGCACTCCACTATGGAATGCATAGTCACCCAAACAGTGACCCTAACCACTGCTCCAAACTCCAGTCCCCCGCGATGATCTTTTAAAACTAAACCTGTCACCATCTTATTCAAATCCCTGATGGCATCCCACGGCCCTTAGGATAAGGATTCAGTCTTCAGCGTAACTCTGCCTACATGGGCTCCTGCCTTACTCTGTAGCCTCAGAAGTACCCACCCTGCTCTTGCTTCGTTCTCCAGATTTTTGACTCTCCCTCTCAACTCTGAGTTTTCAATCATGCTGCTCTCTACTAGGGTTTCTTTCTCCTCCTCCCTTTCTCAGCTTCAAGACAAGGTTACACCTCCCTGCTCTAATCTCCATGCCACAACTTTGTATCACTCCTCTCAGGCTCAATGCTTTTATAGCTCTTTACCATAAGCTCCATTAAGGGAGGAACCATGTTTCTCTCATCCATTGCTGTATCCCTTGGCACAATGCGAGCACTCAGTAAATACCGCTGAAATAATCTGGACTCACAGCACTTGTCCAGGCCTCTTTATTAGTGAGGAGAGCAAGGATGAACTCGCAGGATTACAGACTATAAAACAGGATTTCTCTAAAAATTCTCTGCAGAAAAATTATCCCCTCTAAAAAATGTGTTTTGGAGAATGGTCCAGTTAATGATCTTCCCTTCAGTAGTGCCGCAGGAGGGAAGATTGACCCAGGCCATGTGCAACTACACAATCATGGCAGAAACAAATGTTCAGGAAGACCCAAGAGACAGCCAGGCCCCTGGAACACCTCCTGTGTCTATTAACTGGGATCCTACAATGATTACATTTACTCTAATCTAGGGCATCTAGTGCTTGGCCCTCTGACTCCTTCCAGTAACCCCAGAAGGAAGAAAAGTGACCCACGCAGTGCCGGAGGGACTTCAGGGATACGGCCAAACGGCTGACGCCAACTCTGCTACCTGGGCTGCGAGGCAGGCAGGAACCCGGAGAGCTACAATGAGCAGGGTGCCCTGATGTTTACGCTAGCAGAACTGGAGAGCGGAAGCGAGAGGCTTGGTGGGAGTGAAGTCTATAGAACTTGGTCGCGGTTGAACACGAGGGCCCTCCTGGAGGTTCCCGAGGGCTGACAGTAACATGGGGACAGAGGGCAGCCTCTCCGGCGTCTCCATAGACAACGTCATGCTTCCAGAGCCACTGGAACAGCACAGAAGGTGTCTCCCGCGGAATTCACAGGCGCACATTCTGAACTAGGGTCCTTCATATGCAGAACAGCCCAACATGTGAAAGGTGGGGTGATTTCCATCCAGTGCCAACTGCCAGCACCACTGCTCCAGCCCCACAACGACCAAGCCCTGCTCAGCAGCTGCAGCCTTGCCCAGAAGGGCTATCACACAGCCCCTTGGAGATCTCCTCTCCCTCCAGTTTACTTTCAGCTTCTTGTTCTCTCACCTCCTCTGCTCTACTTCCTGACAAAGGGCACGCTTTCAGATGGACCCCAGCTCTCTTCTGCACACACCACATCCCAGTGGGCCTTCTGCATAAAGGATTAGTGAGGCAGACAAATTCCAGAATTACAGAACTCATGCGTGGTCATCAGAATGAAGGTAAACAGTAGATGCTCAAGGACCAACAGGGGCAGATAAAGCCTAAATCCATTCCTAACTATGTGGGAGACCCCGGGCAACTTATCTCACCTCTCTCAAGGCTCGGTTTCTTTAATTGATTTCAATCAAGATATGACTAGTATTAAAGCAGTTATATGAGAATTCAACACAATGAGACATACAACGCATTTAACGTAGAGCCTGGCATATAACAAATGCTCCAAATCTATTATTAGGATCATGAGATGCGTAAACCTCATGAGGACAAGGATTCCACTTGCCCTTGTTCACCACTGTGTCAGTTAAGTCCTTAAGTCCACGGCCCAGGGAAGGTGCTCAGCTCGTGTTTGTTGAAAGAATGAATGAAGGGTATGACCGTAGTTATTAAGCTAGGACATGCAGAATAAAAGAGGTGGGGAGGAGGAAGGGGCAATAGGGCCTACTTATGGAGAACAAAGGCAAGGAATATTAACCAGAGTGCTCTCCAAACACAAGCCAAGAACGTCAAGGGACATCTGTCCCACTGTGGATTATGCCACCCTTGACAGTACTGTTTCCAGTCCTGAATGATGGAGTTGCTGCTACAATCACTAGTCAGAGGGAGCACAGAACAAATGTGGAGGAGGGTGGTGAAGGAGATGCAGAAATAATTTAGGTTTTGGGTTCGGCACTGTGGCATGGTAGGTTAAAGCCCCGGCCTGCAGCGCTGGCATCCAATACGGGCACCAGTTCAAGCGAGTCCCACGCGGGTGCCAGGGAGACCCAAAGGGAGCTCCTGGCTCCTGGCTTTGTATCGGCTCAGCTCCAGCCACTGCCATTTGGGAAGTGAACCAGTGGATGGAAGACCTCTCTCCCTCTGTCTCTACCTCTCTCTATAACTCTATCAAATAAACAAAATAAACCTGTTAAAAATAATAATAACAACTTAGGTTTTGCACTTATTTAATCTGACATGTCAACTGGCCTCTCAGGAATGCTGTTGATTAAGCAATGATGCTACTAGTAGCTCTTACACCATGGGCATGAACCCTGGGCCAAGGGCCAAGGATGGACATACAGATAAAGAAGGAAGCTATTAGGTACATGGTTAAAGCCCCAAGAAATAGAGTGCAAAGAAAACTAAGGACAAACCCCTAGAAAACAGCCACAGCAAGAAAATACACAGACGCCATTTCAAAACAAACACTTTTTCCAATTCTTTTTTGTTAAGGAATTATTGCCTTAAATTGTGATGAGGAGAAATTCGGGAAGTCTGTTGGATTGATCAGAATTATGTGAAGAAACAAGGGAATAGCTATTTTGGCCACTCCATAAGCCGGCAACGTGGGCTACCGAGATGACGGGACTCGCCGTACCTGAGAACGTGTATCTCTTCCTCGCCTTGTGGCACTCATCTGCTTTGATCCTGGCCGCTGAGAGCAAATAGGCCCCAGAAATATCATATCCGGCCTCTGACAACTTCTTCCAGTAGTGAACGAGCTGCAGCCTTGTCCAGAAGCTCAGGCTTTGGATTTTTGACAGAAAGTCTGCAATACTGGTGACACGAGGAGGCATTATAAATCACAGTAGGACCTCGTGCTTTGAGAGAAGCTGTTCCTCTACTTACCACATTTCATCAGCCTCTTCAGAGACTTCTTAACTATCAGGACTTTTTAGGCCACCAGATAAATATGAGACTTTCACTCTTCAGCAGTCAAAGACAATTCACACCTGTCCAGGGTGCCCCTTCCTCCAGGCAGACTCCCTGGGTCTACCAGCAGAGCTCTTCTCTGCTTGGATGGTTCATTACACCATTACTCTAGTGAAACATTTACCACATGTACAGTAATTCTTTGGTTCTAGATCTTGTCTCACCAGATGAAAGCATCTAAGGGCTTGGATTGTATCTTACTCATTTCTGCACCCTCAAGACCTAGCACAGTGTGGGAGAGAGGGTAGGTTAATGACAAGACATTTGCTGAGCTAATGCATAAGAATGAAGAATGAAGAGGCATGGGAAGCACGGGACATGGGGGAAGGAAGAAGGGGAGAAAAAACCATACAGGGAAGAAGGGAAGGGAAGGGAAGGGAAGGGAAGGGAAGGGAAGGGAAGGGAAGGGAAGGGAAGGGAAGGGAAGGGAAGGGGAGAGGAAGGGAGGAGAAAGGGAGGGGAGGGGAGAGGGGAGGGGAGGGGGAAGGGAAGGGAAGGGGAGGAGAGGGAGGGGAGGGGAGGGGGAAGGGAAGGGGAGGGAGGAGAGGGGAGGGGAGGAGAGGGAGGAGAGGGGAGGGGAGGAGAAGGGGAAGGGAGGGAGGAGAGGGGAGGGGAGGAGAGGGAGGAGAGGGGAGGGGAGGAGAGGGGAGGGGAGGGGAGGAGAGGGAGGAGAGGGAGGAGAGGGGAGGGGAGGAGAAGGGGAAGGGAAGGGAGGGGAAGGGGAAGGGAGGGGAGGGAAAGGGCAAGGGAGGGGAGGGAAAGGGGAAGGGAGGGGAGGGGAAGGGAAGGGAGGGGAGGGGAAGGAAGGGAGGGGAGGGGAAGGGAGAGGAGGGGAAGGGAAGGGGAATGGAAGGGGAGGAGAGGGGAAGGGAAGGAAAGGGAGGGGAGGGGAGGCGAGGGGAGGGAGGGGAGGCGAGGGGAGGGAGGGGAGGGGAGGCAAGGGAGGGGAGGGGAGGGGAGGCAAGGGAGGGGAGGGGAGGCAAGGGAGGGGAGGGGAGGGAAGACAGGAGATACTAAGAGGAACATGGTCAATCCTTCGCCCTTTTTTCAGCCCTTATCTTGTCCTCTCCCCAGAATTCCACTTAACTTTGAGAGGCATCCACATGGAACCAAAAAGGGGAAAGAATACTTTGTAGAGGAAATGTGTCAAATAGAGCAGCCCTGGGGACCCATCAACCCCAGAAGCTGGTGCCAGATGATGGTCACAGCTGAGCAAATGGACTGGCAGTTGAAGGCATGAATGTGTCTTGCTCAAAGGCACCCCTTGTATCTCAACAGCACTGGTCAAAGGAAGAAGCTAAATATGTACACATGCAATTATATAAAAATGGTGAGGAGTAGCTTTCGGTGCAGTGGTTGATGAACTACTTGGGATACTCACATCTCACGTCAGAGTGCCTGGGTTTTGATTCCACCTTCCTGCTAGTGGGCACCCTCGGAGGACTGTAAAGTAGGTCCCTGCCACCCATGTGGAAGCCCTGGCTTGAGTTCCAGGCTCCCAGCCTTGGCCTGGTCAAATCCTGGATACTGTGGGCATTTGGAGAAGGAGCCAGTGAGTGGAAAGTGTCTGTCTGTCTCTGTGTCTCTCCTTTCAAGTAGATTTTTTTATACAGGGAGACTTACCTAGGGCTGGAGAGGAAGCTGCACAAGCCCGACCAGCACCCACTCATCTTCATATGCCACGGCAGTTCTTGGTACACTCTCCAGAAGGCGGACTGCCGCTGGAAGTATCTGACCAGGATGTGGTGGAAATAGGTTTTCCTGTGATTTGTGGGTTTCCGAAACGAATATGGACCGCTTTCTCTGACAGGAGTGATTACACCTATTTAAAAACCAATTGTAGTGTAATGCGGCTGACTTTCTAGTACATGAAAGCACTATGGCAAAAATACGACAACTCTGTGGCCATAATAAGAGGAGTAAAAGTCAAGACAGCAGGGGGGAGAAGTGTATCTTCTGATCCATTATTCTGAATTTGCCAAATAATCATTTATCATCTGATCACTGACCTAGAACTTGAGAAGCTTGTGATCACACTGGTTTTTTCATTGAGTCCTCCACCTCCTCAAGGAAATACGTGTAACTTACTTTTCTACTTTAAGCCTACACCATGGTTACAGCTCGGATATGTACTTCCAAACATCTGAGGCTATGCACTTTGGAGAAGTTAATCCATTGCCTGGACTTCACACAGGCCAGGGCGCCACTGAACAAAATAAGTGGCAAATTCACTGTTGGAGCCATGGTTTCTTTATCTTGATTTCCAAAGAGAAATGACTCCAATGAATAACACTACCCAGAAATCAGCCTCTCAAGAACAGATGGTTTTGCTTCACTCAGTCATGGTGCATGCTGAGTGTTCTGCAATACTACTTGGATGTCTTCAGCCCATATCAGAGTGCCTGGGTTCGAGTCCTGTCTCCACTTCTAATCCAGCTTCCTAACAATGCACAGCCTGAGAGAAAGAGGGTGAGAGCTCAAATGCTTGGCTCCCTGCCATCTACATGGGAGGCCCTAATAGAGCTCCTGGCTCCAGGTTTCATCCTGGCCCAACCCAGCTGTTGTGACTTTTGGGAGTAAACCAGGGATGGCGGATCTCTCTCTCTGCCTTTCAAACAAATAGTTCCTGGAGACTCTGTCCTTGGAAACTAAACTAGAAGTATTTTTTTTAATTTTCTGTTTGGCAACTTCAGCTGGATGACACACCAAGCCCAGCTCTTCATAAGAACTATAGGGAAGGTCGGCACTGCAGCTCAATAGACTAATCCTCTGCCTGCGGCGCCAGCACACCAGGTTCTAGTCCCAGTCGGGGCGCCGGATTCTGTCCCGGTTGCTCCTCTTCCAGTCCAGCTCTCTGCTCTGGCCTGGGAGTGCAGTGGAGGATGACTCAAGTCCTTGGGCCCTACACCTGCATGGGAGACCAGGAGAAGCACCTGGCTCCTGGCTTTGGATCAGCGCGGTGCACCGACCGCAGCAAGCTGACTGCAGCGGCCATTGAGGGGTAAACCAACAGAAGGAAGACCTTTCTCTCTGTCTCTCTCACTGTCCACTCGGCCTGTCAAAAAAAAAAAAGAACTATAGGGAAAGAGGAGCCCATTATTTATATGGCCATTGTGCATTTCCATTGAAATGACTTCCAGCTCACCCACTCATATGGAGAGACACCATGCTATCTGGTCTAAAGTGTGCAGGTATGCCCAAGGTGGCAAAGGCAGGGCTTAAGAGGCCCACAGAGGCCGGCGTCGCTGCTCAATAGGCTAATCCTCCACCTGCAGTGCCGGCACCCCAGGTTCTAGTCCCGGTCAGGGCACCGGATTCTGTCCCGGTTGCCCCTCTTCCAGGCCAGCTCTCTGCTGTGGCCCGGGAGTGCAGTAGAGGATGGCCCAAGTTCTTGGGTTGGGCCCTGCACCCACATGGGAGACCAGGAGAAGCACCTGGCTCCTGGCTTCGGATCAGCACAGTATGCCGGCCGCAGCGGCCATTGGAGGGTGAACCAACGGCAAAGGAGGACCTTCCTCTCTGTCTCTCTCTCTCTCACTGTCCACTCTGCCTGTCAAAAAAAAAAAAAAAAAAAAAAAAAAAAAAAAAAAAGAGGCCCACAGAAAAAAAATAAAATAAAATTCCCCTCCTTTACCAAGAGAGGCAAAGGCATGTCTGTGGGCACTAAGTTGGGAGGTAGGGTGGGTGACAAGAGAAACAAAGAACCGGGGCAAAAATGATCCTGGATCCAAGTTCCGGTGCATTAAGCACAATGCTTAAAGTGTACTAAACATTTTCAGAGGCAACACTGTGTTTAATCTCCTCTTCTCACAGCATGAGGAGGATCTGAGTACGACTCCCCTTCCGACAAGCAAGGCTACTTAAATCAGACAGGTCAGGTGAGCTGCCCCCGTCAGCACAGGACCAGGAGCTCAGGGAGCATTTGACTTCATTCCAGTGCTCCTCCAGCTACAAGGGGGATGTGAGGAGAGGTTGACCTCTGCATCGTCTTTGCATACAAAGTACAGCACGGTTCTCATTGACTTAATGCCTGACCTCTAAGGAGTGCTGTTGTCATCCTCATGGTAGGCCAGAGTATCCTATACTGATAGACAACTCCCAAATCTCAGTGACTCAAAAGAGCAAAGGTTTATAATGTCCATCACAGGATCAGAGACCAAAAATTCCAATCCATGTCTCCTCACTCACCCCAGGACTGATGGAGCAGCCACCATCTTGAATGTTGCCAATGGTAACTCAGTCACAAGGCCTGTGATGACAAAGGAGCCAGGAAGTGTTCCTCATAGTGGGGTAGAGGCTGGGAACATTGGTGATGAGCTCAACCAGCCACTACAAATGCTTGTCGTAAGTACTAGAAGCTGTGCCTTACATGAATTAGCATTTTTAATACCCTCAAGGTAAGTACTGTTATTGTCCCTATTTTGCAGGTGAGAAACCTGAGTCCGAGATTTAAGCTAGGTCACGCGGGATCTTTCAGATTCCAAAGCCATTGCTCTTAACATGAAATCCCTTCTAGTAGACATCAAAGTGATTTCCAGTAGGAGGGAGGGTAGACTCTCTGACAAATAGCATGTAGATGTGACAGTGATGTGAGAAGCCAATGGAAAAAGGCTGCTGCTGACCTATGACCACAGAGCCCTATAGAAATGGCTCCTCTTTGGTGCTCAATCCTCTGGGTTTGGTTCTCCAAGCAGACACTATTTCCAGTATGGACTCTCAAATCGGCAGAGATAGAGGCTGCTAGAAATAGCAGGCCCCCAAAACTAATAGCAGTGCATTCATTCAGCAAACACGTATTGAACATAACTAAGTGGGTCCCAGAGAATTCAGATGTGCTCAACAGTGTCTGATAAAACAAAACAACTTCGGGCCCACGGAATTCTAGACAGCCAGGTGATCTGCAAGGACCATTTGGGGAAGATAGTGGGTAGGGGGCCACAGGGAAGATAGATGAAGAAATTGAAAAGGAAATTAACGGTGGATAGCATTCCTGGAGTATGACTATGGGCCAGGCGGTTCTAAGTGCTTTGTGTGTGTTAACTCATTGAATCCTCGTAAGTAACAACCCTGTGTGATATCAGTTCATAAATGTGGGATCTGGGACACAGAGTGGTAAAATGTAGCCAAGGTCATCAACTAGCAGGTGGAAAGGCAGGAGTTCAACCCCATCTGGCATCAGGATCCCACTTGTAAGCATTATGCTATGTTGGCTCCTTCCATTCAACAGATGCAGAAACAAATAGGTTTCCCTGACTGGATTTGGGACAGTTTTATGGGGTGAAGGTTACAAAAAGAAATGGCAGAGGCTTTTCCCAGGAAAGGCTCCCTGGGAACCTGAGAAAGGTGGGGCTTGGGGACACACCTTTGCCCACATCTGATGGAGTCCACATCAACCTGGCACTTCAAGGGCTGACTGTTTTGGGACAAGAGGGCAAGGCCCTTGGCATGATGTCTGGTTTGTGCACAGTGGCCACCAGCAGCAGGGATAGTGGCGAGGCATCCACCTTGTAAACAGAAACCAGACGAGACTCTTTGATGACCACTGCCAACAAGCAGATGGGTGAGACATGGGGCACTCATGGGGGACCCCCAGGAATATCAGGAGCAGATCAGGGCTTCCTGGGTGGGTAGGAGGAACAGGTGGAAAATAGCACTGTTGTGACCTGGCCTTGTCTGATGACGTCCTGGTTGCACATGAAATAAATGAAATAATGTATAGGAAGTTAGGAAGTGCCTAGCACAGTAACAGGACTAAAAAACAAAAAAACTGGTTATCATGACCTGTATCAACAGATACAACAATGGCCTACTGGTACTAGGGCAACTCTCTCAGCTTTTCAGCTCCCCTTTACAATTGCCCTAATCCTTTTCCACCCTCACTAAGGTGCACGTGTACACACACACACACACACACACACAGAGTATATAAGAACAAACAATCTTGAGTTTTGGTGACAAAAGGGAAGGAAGGCTGCTCCATCACAGTCCAGGAATCAAAGAATGTCTCTAGATTAGATCATTAGGCACAAAATAGGTTACAAATCAAATGCTATGCTATTCAGAGTATTAATTTTAAAGGCAAGAAGCAGATGCATGTGGTTAAAAAAGACTAACTTGCCTCAAAATGATTGACATGCTATTTGACAAAAAAGAGTCAAAAGATAGCCCTTGACCAGAAATGTCACAGTGGTCTCAAGGAGTGTGGCCTGGCTGTTGATATTGTGGGCGTGGTTGCTTCTGGGGGTGAATTAATCTCCTGATGCCTCTGGCAAGGACTGGTGCTCACAGCCTGATCCTGCAGCGTGCCTTTCTCTCTAACTATAGGGCATAGTGTCAGCAGGGTTTTATTTTGGGCTTACCATGCAGTGAAGGGGGACAATGCATTCCCAGAATTTTAACAGCCACATTGTTCCCTTCTAGCCCCCACACCTACAAGAGTGTATTGTTCTGGGGGAAAAGCAGAAATGGAGCACATTGCAAACCATCCTACGGCAAGTGAGAAGAGATGACATTAAATCTAAGAGCAACTTCATTCCTAGGCCTGCTCTCTCCTCTACTTTACACAACTTAGAGATGGTAGGAACGACTACAATACAGATGGGAAATAGCAAAAAGGATTTACATTTTTTAAATGAAAGCTTAAAAGATCACAGTAAATATAAAAGGAAATGTGCAGGGAGCTTGGAATCTTGCCAGAGGACTCAAGAGTTTTCAAAGCCTGAGAGCTGCAGTTCTCTGTGTGACTGTCATAGAGTCTTCTGCTTCTAGAAGGGTTAAGAATCCGATTTCAGAATCAGGGCAGACACTGATAATTCCTAGCCAATATACTTGTCCCTCTCCTTTGTTGGTGACAGAAGCCCACGCTGGTTTAGGACGGCAGTACACTCAGTTGAAACCACTATTCTTCAGGTCCCCTTGTGTTTAGCTGTGATCACATAATGAAGCTCTGGGTCAAAGAGACAGAAGTGGAAATGATGATGAGAAATTGCAAGGACAGCTCCTTTAAAAGAAGCAGCAAGCTCTTCTTCCTCTCATCTCCTTTCCTGTTGCCTGGTATTTGATGGCTGGAGCTCTGGCAACCATGAGCATGAGGTGACCTTGAGAAGGTGAATGGGGGACATAGAAGGAGTTGGGTCGCAAGTGATTTTGTGGAGTAAATAAAGCATCCCAGAACTGCCTGTGTAGGAGAATAGGCCCTGGAGCGTCAGCCACTGAAGGCACGTCTCAGTCATTCATAAGTAAATCCAATTCCTAACTTACACTCTTAGAGATATGTTGCTGCACGGACTCAATCGTACTTCAGAAATCCCAGCTACAGGCTCTCCCTGTGTGCAGCTGCTCTGCCCCCTTAGCCAAACCCCTTAGGACCGGTTCCCAGACCCAGGCCTTACCGAGAAGCGTGTGCTCCACAGCGTCTCGCAGGGACTGGTGCCAGAAGTAGAGGAGGCCGTTGGGCTTCTCCTGGACCCACTGCTTGGTGGCGCTGCGGAAGGCAGCCCAGTGCAGCGTGGTCACTTTGTAACGATTGCTATAGCCCAGCATGTCCAGAATCTGGAGCAGCTCATCTTCCGTCAACCCACAGTGTGAGACGCACAACAAGCACAGGGTGTCAGTCACCCAGCCGTCCAGCCCTAGGCAGACAACGTGGGGGGGGGGGGGGGACCATGAAAAATGAATGTATGCCCGCCCCCCAGCCTCCTCCGAATTTTAGATAAATTTTGCTGCCGAGGCGAGCATGTCGGGCAGCATGCTAACGTTTGAGGTGATTAATCCACTTACTCCTTTCCGTCGGCCGCAAGGCAAATACTAAAACTGCCCCGTCTTACAAACAAGGAAAATGGAGGCCACACAGAAGTCCATGCCGAAAGGGAATTTGAACCCAGAGCCAATACCGTTACAACTATACCATCTACAGTGACACAACTGCCACAGGTAGAGCTAGCGTTACAAATGCAAATTGCCGGTTACTGCACTGAGCGTTTCGGCTGAGCAGTCCTGACTTCGGGTTTCCAAACCCCAGATTTGTATGTGTGGGTAGGGGCAGCTGTTCTACTGGATTGCCCTCCTGCCACGCTCTCACAGATACCCCTGAAGCAGCGCTATTACTCCCCTGACTTAGATGTTCCCTCCAAAGCCAGATTTCCTGCCGGCTTTAGGACGCCCCAACTCTAAAGGGACCCTTCAGCGCACTGAGAGCAACGCCCGCACAGTCTGCCAGTCCGAAGTCATTTCCTGTGCTGGGCTGGGGTGCAGCTCTAAAGCACCTGCAGTCCGTGGGCAAGGCAGAGCTGGTCAGCCTCAGCAGAAGCTTCCCCTCGGCTGAGCTCCCTGGGCCCGAGTCACTCGGGGTCTCTGGGTACCGCTGAGGGATAGGGCAGTCCTTGGGGGAGGAGACCTGGGCTTTCCTACCCCGTGCTGGAGATCGGGGGTAGCACAGCCATGGGCCACTCTCACGGGGACCACGAGAGGACAAAGTTAGACTCTCAAAAGCCCAATTACTGAATATCATGAAACAAATCCCAGACCAATTTGTGGAACAAATTGTTTACCACAAACAACAGACTCAGCTAGAGGACGCTCTCAAGGGAACCTGTATTCCTGCTGAGGAGACGCCTTGCAGAGCTGAGGCAGGCACGGGAGCGTCAGAGCAGAGGGCGCACTGCAGCAGAGAGGCCAGGGGAGCAACGGGGCTTTCTCCGCTAGGAGGGACTGCGTCAGCAGGGGGCAGCAAAGATCGCTCAACCCGAGAATGCCGGGCACGCCTGTGTCCTAGGGGAAGACCCAAGTCTAGAGGACCGTCTGAGCCCATGGTCTCCTTAGCAAAAGACCACGGTGGTAAGTAACAACCAAAGACACCCAGCACCAAGGTCATCGGACCCGAGCTCGACCCAACAGAGACATGGGAAGGCGAGAAACGCTCACTTGACTGAAACAACCCCGGCTTCACTGAAAACAAAATCCGCTGGTGGCATTAACTTGGATTGACTGGATTAGGTTTCCGTCATTGCAGGACCGTGGGCTCAAAAGTGAGGTTAAATTGAAGTATACAGATGATGAAGATCCATTTCTTAGGCCCCTGAAAAATGTGACTGAAACTTGGGCCAGACGAGTACAGTTCTCCTTACAGTCCACACAGAGATCTCTAGAGAGGGTAGTCAGATTTAGCAAAGAAAAATACAGGACATCCAGTAAAATTTGAATTTCAGATAAGCAACTAATTAGGGTTTGATATGAATGTGCCTCGTGTAGTATATGGGATATACTTACACTGAATATTATTTTTAATTTGTCAGCAATTAAAATAATTTTAGCATAAGTATATCCCAGATATCATAATTCTATAAGATTACTTGCTAATTATCTGAAATTCAAATTTACCAGGGCACCCTCTATTTCTCACAACTCTGTCTCTAGACCCTCCTCTGCTGCAGCGAAGCCATACGGTTTCCTCACCCAGCTTCCACACCGCCCAAGGCCTACCTTGTCGTGAAGCCTCCTTACAAGTCCAACTATAGTCTTCAGTCCAGCGTTTCAGGATCAATCCCCAGAGTTCCTGAATAGAGGCCGCCTCCAAGTACTCACTCATACACTGGAACTCATTTCGGTAGATTCTACATTCTTTCAATTCATTGGCAAGGATCAGGAGTTTTAAAGGATTGCTGTTTGCATTATTCTTCAAGGCATATCTGCTCTGTTGGAAGGGGTCTTGGTTGAGAATGGAGAGGTGCTGTCTAAAGACCTTGAGCTTCATTTCGTTATTGTCCATGCTAATGAGTTCCACAGTCCTCACATCTGGGCGGGCATACAGTGACTTGTAGGGCAGGCTGGAGGAGACAGTGCTCATGATAAATTTGCAATGAGGAGAAAGCGAGTGTGGCAGCCAGGAGAAATCTCTTGCCTGATGGAGATAACCAGAGAACCTTGGACACTTTAAAGACCTTCACGATTCCTTTGCCAATGGCTTTCAAATTTAAAGTAGGTGGAATACTGGGAAGAAGTCTAGGGTATGGGTTGGGATTACTTATTCATGGTAAACCGCATGGTAAAACTCTTTTTAATGAAACCATATTTGACTGACCCACCTATCTGTTAAGAATCTGATCATGCAAATGTGGAGTCTTTTTAAAAAGAGGTTCATAAAGTCACAGACTTTTATAGAATGACCTATAATAATAATCAGAGAAAACGTAAGAGAGAACAGATAGAACCATTTGGTTGAAAAAGAAGACATTATCTTATGCTGAAGAATTGTCTCTTTGTACAGCCATAATTAAATGTCTCATCTAATTCATTCCGCTAACAAGCAGCAAAGCTGGAATTCAAACCCACGGTCTGGTTCCTGAGTTCAATGGCTTTACTTTGGAACAAAATAAACATCTAGTAAAATGTTTTCTCAGGGTCAGTGCTGTGGTGTAGTAGGCTAAGCCTCCACCTGTGGCACCGGCATCCCATATGGGCACTGATTCAACTCCCAGCTGCTCCATTTCCAATCCAGTTGCCTACTAATGGCCTGGAGAAGCAGTGGACAATGGCCCAAGTACTTGGGTTCCTGTTCCCACATGGGAGACCCAGAAGAAGCTCCTGGCTCCTAGCTTTGGATCGGCCCAGCTCCAACCATTGTGTATATCTGGGGAGTGAACCAGTGGATGGAAGACCTGTGTCTCTCCCTCTCTCTGTATCTCTGCCTTTCAAATAAATAAATAAATCTTTTTTTTTTTTTAAAAAAAAAAGACCTTTTCTCCAGTTTTTTAAGTCATCCCCCTCCTCTCTTCCTCTTTGTCTAGTAACAGCAACTATTACATTTTGTCTGCTTCCGCTGAGTCAGGCATTACGTTGAGCATATCTTCAGGAATTGACTGTATTACCATGTTTTTTATTGTCTGTATCTTAGAATATTTTGTCATCTCTTGGGGTCTTTCAAACCAATAGAGAAACTACCATTCTGAAAGCTAGCCAGTTCTTGGGATTGGTGGACAGCTTGCCTGCAATATGCCCCAATCCAGCTTTTAAAATATATTTTAAAATTTATTTATTTATATTTGAAAGGCAGAGGAACAGAGACAATGAGGCAGGAAAAAAGCTCCCATCCTCTGGTTCACTCCCTAATTGTCAGCAACAGCTGGGGCTGGGCCAGGCCAAAACCAGGAGCCCGGAACACAGTCTGAGTATCCAACGTGAGTTGCAGGGACCCAAGTACTTAAGCCATCACCTGCCAATTCCTAGGGTGCACATCAGCAGAAAGCTGGAATGGTGACCGGAGTCAGGTCTTGAACCCATGCTCCACTCTGAAAAGATGTGGGCATCCCATGGGCATCCCAAGTACTATACCAAATAGCCAACTCCCAATCCAGCTTCTTTTGTAACTTTCACATACCAACTCAGTATTTTTTCTGCCCTAGATCAACCAAGAGCCAGGTATCAAACAACTCGTGGCAGCCCCTGGGCCCTAAAGCCACCAGTTTAAACTGAACAGTCCTGAATTGTTTTTGTTTTTGTTTTTTTTTCCACAGGCAGAGTTAGTGAGAGAGAGAGAGAGACAGAAAGAAAGGTCTTCCTTTTTCCATTGGTTCACCCCCAAGTGGCCGCTACGGCCGGAGCTGTGCTGATCCGAAGCCAGGAGCCAGGTGCTTCCTCCTGGTCTCCCATGTGAGTGCAGGGCCCAAGCACTTGGGCCATCCTCCACTGCCTTCCCAGGCCACAGCAGAGAGCTGGACTGGAAGAGGAGCAAACGGGACAGAACCAGCGCCCCAACCAGGACTAGAACCTGGGGTATCGGTGCTGCAGGTGGAGGATTAGCCTAGTGAGCCGCGGTGCTGGCCCAGTCCTGAAGTGTTTAATCTGCCCCTCTAGCCTTTCCCACGGAAACCCAAGTTCTATTGACTCTGGCCTAAGTTTCCCCTTTTGCCTTATGACCACTCTGATATTTCCTCTGGGGCCCTTCGTGTCCCCTTCTCTCAGGAAAAATAAGTGATACATTCTTCCAGTGCCATCGCCTATGGCGTCACTCAGTCATCTCTCTGTAAATTAAATTTTGAGGGTAATTTTAATACAGTAGCTCACTCAATCCCTACAACAAGCATCTGGAAAGGCAGAAGAGGCCACTGAAGCGTCAAGGGGCTGAATATCCTATCTAGCTCATTCTGCTAGTAAGTGGGTGGGCTAGGATTCAAGCGTGGGGCCTGGCTCCAGAGGCAGGCCCCTGACCACTGCAGTTCATCCCTACTCAGTTCTCCCTCCTGCAGAGTTGTGCCCAGTACCTTCTTCCATGAAGCTGCCTGGAAGGCCAAATTCTTTCATTAGAGTCTCTCTTGGTGCTACAGGCCAATCCATAGCAGCAGTGGTAGCAAATGTAATTTTTTTTTTTTTTTTTGACAGGCAGAGTGGACAGTGAGAGAGAGAGACAGAGAGAAAGGTCTTCCTTTGCCGTTGGTTCACCCTCCAATGGCCGCCTCGGCCGGCGCGCTGCGGCGCCGCACTGATCCGATGGCAGGAGCCAGGTGCTTCTCCTGGTCTCCCATGGGGTGCAGGGCCCAAGCACTTGGGCCATCCTCCACTGCACTCCCTGGCCACAGCTGAGAGCTGGCCTGGAAGAGGGGCAACCGGGACAGAATCCGGCGCCCCGACCGGGACTAGAACCCGGTGTGCCAGCACCGCAGGCGGAGGATTAGCCTATTGAGCCGCAGCGCCGGCCACGAATGTAATTTTATACTTATCCAAGTTCTTGCTTTCATGAAAGTCTGTCATTCCTCAATAAAATGAAGGTTCTGTTTCTTTGCGGACACCATGGATGTCTTTGCTTATGGTGCTTTGCCCATAGTAAGCAGTCAATAATTACTTACTGAATGTACAATGGATATCATGCGTTAAATTAAAAAGCAGGGAGTTGGCATTTAGCCTAGGGGTTAACATGCCCACATTCCATATTTGGCATGCCTGGGTTTGGTTCCAGGCTCCAGCTCCTGATCCCAGTTTCCTGACAATGCAGACCCTAGAAGGCAGTGGTGATGGCTCAGGTAAAGTTTCTGCTATCCATGTGGAGAGATCTGGATTTTGTTCCCAGATCCTGGCATTTGTTTTTGGTTCCAGTCATTGCAGGCATTTGGGGCATGAACCAGCTGATAGGTCACTCTGTCTGCTTCCCTTTCTCTGTCTCTCAAGTTAAAAGGAAAAAAAAGATTACAAAACGATATGGTGGGACAGGCACTGTGGCACAGCCTACAAAACCAGCATCCCACATGAGCTGTGGTTCAAGTCCCAGCTGCTCCACTTTCAATCCAGCTTGCTGATAATATGCCTGGAAAAGGGCCTGGGTTCCTACAACACATGTAGGGGGCCCAGACACAAATATGCATAGCATATATAAGTAGCCATAGGAGTATATGACACCCACAAAATGATTTAACAGAGATGAGTTCTATTTTCCTTCTTTAACCTTATTTTCTATAAGACCCATTTATTACTTACAGAATTTTAAAGAAACTACTTCCAAAAGATTGACTGGTACTAAGAAGCAGTAGAGGTTTAATGCATCTAGTATTATTTCAAACAGGAAAAAAGAGATTTAGAATATGCAAAGTCAGGGGGCCAGTGTTGTGGCATCATAGGCTAAGTCTCCTCCACCTGTGGCACAGGCATCCCATACAGGTGCCAGTTCATGTCCCAGCTGGTCCTCTTTCAATTCAGCTCCCTGTATATGTCCTGGGAAAGCAGTGGAAGCTGGCCCAAGTGCTTGGGCCCCTACACCCATGTGGGAGACCTGAAAGAAGCTCCTGGCTCCTAGCTCCTGGCTTCAGATCAGCCCAGCTCCAGCTGTTGTGGCCACCTGGGGAGTGAACCAGTGGATGGAAGACTTTTCTGTCTCTCCCTCTTTCTGTAACTCTATCTCTCAAAGAAGTAAATAAAATCTTTGGGGCCAGCGCTGTGGCATAGCAGGTAAAGCCGCTGCCTGCAGTGCCAGCATCCCATATGGGCACCGGTCCAAGTCCCAGATGCTCTACTTCTGATCTAGCTCTCTGCTATGGCTTTGCATCAACCCAGCTCCGGCTGTTGAGGCCAATTGGAGAGTGAACCAACGGATGGAAGACCTCCCTCTCACTCCCCCGTTCCCTCCGCCTCCCCCTCTCCCTCTTTCTCCTTCTGTAGAACTCTGACTTTCAAATAAATAAATATTTTTTAAAAATCTTAAAAAATGTTTATGTAAAATCAGTGATGAGACAGAACAAACTATAAAACATAAAGAACATAGAAGTCCAATAAATGACTGATCAAAGCATAAAATAGGGGGCATATCTGTTGCAAGGGTGAAGACCACAGTTTTTGGGACCAGACTGCTCATGTGTGAATTCTGAGTCCACTACTTAATTATCTTAGGACCTTAGACAAGCACCTTTGTCCTCAGTCCCCTCTGTAAATATGAAATATGATCAGTCTCTTCCTCATATATTGTTGTGCATATTAAAATGTGTTAATATTTTTTAAAATTCCTACAACGGTACCCAGTCCATTGCAAACACTGTAATAAGTACTTGTGCAATAGGATAGAAAGCAGTAACTAAAAGTAACATTGGTTACACTCAGAAACATTGCTGCAATGACAATGAGTTATGCATATCTTCAATAATGGGGTCTCCTTTCTATAAAATAGCAATTAAATAAGGGTTCTTTTAAAAACATGTTACCTTCTGACCTGAAATCCCATAAATACCAATCAATTCTTCGATTCCATCTAGTACAAGTATACATGGCTTTAAACTGATGGAAGCAATGAATATTTCTACAAGAAGTGAAAAGACCAAGATATTCGATTCTTCGTTAACAATATCCATTTCGAGCTGAGTACCTACAGCATAGAAATTTGCTCAAGTTAGGTGAAATTGTTTTCATCATTGCTAAAACATGTTAATAGGCTGGGGAGCAAAGGAGGTTGGGAAAAATGACTGCTAGCCTCAGCTATACCATTGACACATGTATGACACATATATGTGCACATGTGATTAGCATCCTCAAAAGCTTCAATCCCAAAAGGGTATCATTACCCAAAATGGTAATGATATTTACCACCAGATGTTGCCAATGCATTCTTAGGATTTTGTATGAAAAATATCTGTGAATGATCCAAAGCATTACTCTCAATCTCCAAAAAGCAAAAACAGACCCCGTTGGAAAGAAATGAAACATCAGGCTCAGGGGTCATGGCGTGTTTAGGGATCATGGCCACCACCCTTGGTTCTTCCAGCAAGGCATATATGCAGCATCTGCTACTCACTGCCTGGTATATTTGGTCCTAGCCCACATAAAGCCTAGCAAAACCAGAGCCAGTGCTATGGTACAGCAGGTTAAGCCATGGCCTGCAGTGCTGGCATCCTGCATGAGCGCCGGTTAGAATCCTGGCTGCTCCACTTCTGATCCAGCTCCCTGCTAATATGCCTGGGAAAGCAGCAAAAGATGACCCAAATACATGGGCTCCTGCACCCATGTGGGAGACCCGGAGGAAGCTCCTGGCTCCTGGCTCTCCCTGGCCCAGCCCTTGCTGTTGCAGCCATTTGGGGAGTGAACCAGTGGATGGAAAATATTCTCTTTCTCTTTTTCTCTCTCTCTCCTTCCCCTTCCCCTGTAACTTTTGCTTTCAAAAAAAAAAAAAAAAACTTAAAAAAAGTCTAGCAAAACCAATCCTAAGTCTACCCCCATTCCCCCTCCATACACACAGAATCCCAGGCATTACTAGGGAAAACTAAGCTATAAACCAGGAAACAGCCAAGGAGTTTGAAAGGACCAACTTTCAGACTATAATCAAGTGACTTAGTAGCAGAAAACTGTGACCAACTACTTAATATCCTGAAGATGTTTTACAACAAACAATTTCTGTCTTGCTTTTGTTTTTCTAAAGCAATGTTTTCCATAGAAATATAGGCATATCAGGGTCCAGAAAAATCAAGTCCCAGCTTTAATTAAGTATCTGAGATGCATTAAGAGTCTGTTAGAATTATTGAAGGCAATTGTTTTGGCCAGCGCCGCGGCTCACTAGGCTAATCCTCCGCCTTGCAGCGCCGGCACACCAGGTTCTAGTCCCAGTCGGGGCGCCGGATTCTGTCCTGGTTGCCCCTCTTCCAGGCCAGCTCTCTGCTGTGGCCAGAGAGTGCAGTGGAGGATGGCCCAGGTGCTTGGGCCCTGCACCCCATGGGAGACCAGGAGAAGCACCTGGCTCCTGCCATCAGATCAGCGCAATGCGCTGGCCGCGGCGGCCATTGGAGGGTGAACCAACGGCAAAAGGAAGACCTTTCTCTCTGTCTCTCTCTCTCTCACTGTCCACTCTGCCTGTCAAAAAAATAAAAATAAAATAATAAAATAAAAATAAAAGATGAAGGCAATTGTTTTGAACAAATATTTATTGATTGCCTACTATGTGAAAGTTCTGTGCTAGATGTTGAGAGGAGACAAAATGGTCTGAAATATAAGTCAAGGACTTTAGGGAGGCGGGAATGAGCTCTGTTCACAAATACCACCTTTCAAGGCAGCATGTGAGTGGAAACCCCTTGGAGCGATGCAGACATCACAAGGAAGAAAGTTCCTCACAGAAGACATCTGAGATGAGCCTTGAGAAATACACCATTACAGATGAGAAGGGTGTATCATCAAGAAATCGGGAAGGGAAGGGAAGGGAAGGGAAGGGGAGGGGAAGGGAAGGGGAGGGAAAGAAGACAAAAAAATTAATCTTGATACTGCTGCTTCTGTTTTGTTTTTTGTTTTTTTGTTTTTGTTTTTGTTTTGACAGGCAGAGTGGATAGTGAGAGAGAGAGAGACAGAGAAAAAGGTCTTCCTTTTGCCGTTGGTTCACCCTCCAATGGCCGCCGCAGCCAGCATGCTGCAGCCGGTGCACCGCACTTATCCGAAGGCAGGAACCAGGTGCTTCTCCTGGTCTCCCATGCGGGTGCAGGGCCCAAGCACTTGGGCCATCCTCCACTGCACTCCCTGGCCACAGCAGAGAGCTGGCCTGGAAGAGGGGCAACCAGGACAGAATCCAGCGCCCCAACCGGGACTAGAACCCGGTGTGCCGGCGCCGTAAGGCGGATTAGCCTATTGAGTCACGGTGCCGGCTGCAGCTTCTGAGTTTTTTTTTTAAATATTTAAAACCATGGACACTGTTGAGACTTCAAGACTTGAAACACAGAATTCTAGAGCTGGAGGGGTTCCTGGAAATCATCTAGTCTAGACCAAATCCCTCACTCTGTAGATGAGGAAACGGAGGCCTACACACTGAGGCCCTGAACCCACAGGTCCTTAGGAGCTGTCACGATACTTCTCACAGTTTGTTTCAAGCTATACGTAGTTGCCCTTTCTCGGCCTATATGGTTCACTCCCACTTGGGGGGAGCCCACAGAGATGTGGATTCACAAAGCAGGCACAGAGGTTAAGAGACAAAGCGGATATGACTGAACCTCAGGAGGTACACGCTGGCTGGCTGATGGTAAAGCATCACACCACTACTGACAGTCCCAGAGTGAATCCTAGGCAATAAATAGACAAGCATCTCGAGGATGATGCTCACTGATTTCTATCTTTTAAAAATTGTATTTAGTTATTTATTTTAGTGATTTACATTTTACTTGAAAGGCAGAGAGATACAGAAAGAGAGAGAGAACTTCCAACTACTGATTAAATTTTGGGAGTAAGGCTGTAGATGGAAGACATCTCTCACTCATTCACTCTTTCAAATAAATAAATCTTAATGAAACACACACAAACTGGCACTGATATAGATGCAGGTGTCCCAACCGCTGTACCACCCACTCACCCCTAGATTTATATTTTTGTATACAAAGGAAAGCACTCGTGTGTGTTCAGTGCTTTAAAATCACATTTTGAGTTACTATAATTTTTTTCTCAAAATGATATTGAAGATAAAGTCAGCATGACTAGCAGTGGAAAATTATCCTAAACATGCCCCTCTATTCTGGCTGCAGCAACCTGTCTCTACTAAACGACAATGGCCCATGGGTTATTTAAGTGGTCACATCTCAAGTGTTTAAACATGCACTTAATGATCTAGCTACTGACTAACCCTGTTACTTTTTAGAAATGTTGCATCTCGGCCGGCGCCGCGGCTCACTAGGCTAATCCTCTGCATGTGGCGCCGCCGGCTCACCGGGTTCTAGTCCCAGTCGGGGCACCAGATTCTGTCCCAGTTGCTCCTCTTCCAGGCCGCTCTCTGCTATGGCCCAGGAGTGCAGTGGAGGATGGCCCAAGTGCTTGGGCCCTGCACCCCATGGGAGACCAGGAGAAGTACCTGGCTCCTGCCTTCGGATCAGCGCAATGTGCCAGCCGCAGCACGCTGGCCGTGGCAGCCATTGGAGGGTGAACCAATGGCAAAAGGAAGACCTTTCTCTCTGTCTCTCTCTCACTGTCCACTCTACCTGTCAAAAAATAAATAAATAAAATTTAAAAAAAATAAATGTTGCATCTCATCATTCAACACTGATTGAGAACCTTCTGTCCTGTGCCAGGAACTGGGTCCAACAATGGTTCATAAACTAGGCATGACCATGGGGCTCACAGGACTCACATGATGACAGGATCATCACTAAGTCACCTGGAGCACTCAGGAGCACAGTTTCAGTTTCTGGAGGGAGACATAATGGGACCAGGACTATACTGGCCTCCTGCCCATTCAAAGCTGGGGGGAGTAAGAGAGAGACCCCATCAGCCCCTCTTACAGAGGGGTGACCTTTGGGTGGGGCCTTAAGGGGGAGAAGGATTTCATTGACCTGAGCAAAGGGACAGGTGTTTCAAGAGAAGGGGACTGGGGCCTGTGCAGTGGCACAGTGGGTTAACGCCCTGGCCTGAAGTGCAGGCATCCCATATGGGCACCAGTTCTAGTCCCAGCTGCTCCTCTTCCAATCCAGCTCTCTGCTTTGGCCTGCAAAAGCAGTAGAAGATGGCCCAAGTCCTTGGACCCCTGCACCCGTGTGGAAGACCTGGAAGAAGCTCCTGGCTCCTGGCTTTGGATTGGCTCAGCTCCAGCCGTTGCGGCCATCTGGGGAGTGAACCAGCGGATGGAAGACCTCTCTCTCTCTCTCTCTGCCTCTCCTCTCTCTGTGTAACTCTGACTTTCAGATAAATAAATAAATCTTAAAAAGAAAATAAAAGAGAAGGGGATTGAAGGGACACAGACAGGGATGTCTGGAAGACACTGGTTTGCTCCAAGGTTACCATACAGTGTAGCAAAAGGCAAAGAAATGAGGCTGAGAAGTCACATGACCCATGCACAAACTCCACCAAGGATTTCTGCCCACCACCAACCTGCACAGACTCTCCTGACACCTGATGCTGGGAGCAGAGCCTGAGGGAAATCAGTCAGGAGTGAAACTTTGCTCTGTTGGCCCAAAGATGCAAGATAAGGCAGACATGAGGAAGAGGCACCTTGTTTGACTCCCTGATGTTGGTCCTGCGATTCTGAGCCTCAACCAGGCATCTCATCTGCAGGATAATGGCACAGATGTGTCTTTGGGTGTAGTAAAGGAGATGCTGATAAGCCCTTTAGCACAGTGGTGCCTGGTACTCAGCAAGTCGCCACAAGAACGCTTTGTTATCCAGGGCTGCCAGCAGGTTCCATGCAGTACCATGCAGGAAACATGTCAATAAGAAAGCTAGCAACTCTGACCTTCTGCAGGACCTGCCACAGCTGCCCACAAGGTGTGGGGGCTGGGAGAGCTGGCCACAGGCAGTTCTTGTTCCTAAGATCCCATTATCCTGTGCCAAGCAAGGGTGGAGGATAGAGGAGCAGAAATGTGAGCCTCACCCAAGAGTTGTGGTCTGGGACAGGAAGGGCCCCCTGTTCACAGCCCACGACGGAGCTGTAGGCAGAGACAGCTGAGACAGCTGCCAGCAAATGCTCTCTGCAAAGCAGCTGACTCTGCTCCAGGCCCCTGGCTCTCAGGCTCCTTGTGTTCTGGGCAGCAGCTCCGTTCCTCCGCCCACACCCACCTGACCCTGGTGAAACCCAGCCCTAGAGCCCAGGCAGCAGCTGTGGACGCCCCATGCTCACAAATCTTCCTTCCCTTCTTCTTCCTAACAAGAGTGGTTTCTCCAAGCAGCCTGCCACTCCTGCTTCCTTCTCCAGTTCTGCCAGGAATAACACAGCAACAATAATAAACAGCAACAACAATGACAGCAATTGTGTGATACTGTTTGAAGTTTTTTTACATGACTGTATTTTAAGACTCAGCCTCGCAAGGGAGGTGCTGTTACCCCATCTTCATTTTACAGATGAAAAATTGGAGCCCACCCTGCCACCCACATGGGAGACCTGGATGGAGTTCCAGGCTCCTGACTTTGGCCTGGCCCAGCCCAGCCCCAACTGTTGCAGCTATCTGGGGAGCGAACCAGCAGATGGAAGGTCTCTTTCTGTCTCTCCATCTCTCTGTGTCCCTCTGCCTTTAAAATAAATAAATAAATCTTTTAAAAAAATACTACAAGATTAAAAAAAGGGGGGGAGGGGGCCAAAGAGCTTAAGTAAACTGCCTAAGATCACACCGTTAGTGAAGAGCCAGAGTTATAGTCCAAGTTCAGAACCGCAGCCCTTCTCCTTGGCCCCCACATTAACAAGGAGGGGTACTCTTCCTAGAAGGGATCAAGTACTCACAGTCTGTTCCCAAATTCATGCTACTATCGGCAGCCTGAAGATCTGTGTGTGGGAACCTGCTCTGTGGATAGCAGGTAAAGTCGCTGTCTGCAAAACTAGTTTGAGTCCCAGCTGCTTCACTTCTGATCCAGCTCTCTGCTAATGTGCCTGGGAAAGCAGCAGAAGATGGCCCAAGTGCTTGGGCCCCTGCAACCACGTGGAAGACCCAGAGGAAGCTCCTGGCTTTAGACCGGCCCAACTCCAGTCATTGCAGCCATTTGAGGACTGAACCAGCAGATGGAAGATCTCTCTCTGCCTCTCTCTGTAACTCTGACTTTCAAATAAATGAATCTTTAAAAAAAAAAAAATCTGTGTATTTGGGGTGGACGTTCACCCTGGCAGTTAATAGCCTGGTTGAAACACCCATATCCCCTATCAGAATGGCTCTGCTTCTGATTCCAGCTTCCTGCTAACAGGCACCCTGGGAGGCAGCAGGTAGTTGGGTCCCTGCCACCTGCCTGGCAAAACCAGATTGAGTTTCCAGCTTCCAGCTTCAGGCTGTCAGCTTCAGCCTGGCCCAGCCCTGGCTGTTGAGGACATTTAGGGAGTGAACCAGCCAGTGGGAGATTGTTCTCTGTCTCACTGCCTCTCAAATAAATAATAACAATAATAATTTTTTAAAAAGATCTATTTGAAGGCTGGTGCCGCGGCTCACTAGGCCAATCCTCTGCCTTGCGGCGCTGGCACACCAGGTTCTAGTCCCGGTCGGGGCGCTGGATTCTGTCCCGGTTGCCCCTCTTCCAGGCCAGCTCTCTGCTATGGCCCGGGAGTGTAGTGGAGGATGGCCCAAGTGCTTGGGCCCTGCACCCCATGGGAGACCAGGAGAAGCACCTAGCTCCTGCCATCAGATCAGCGCGGTGCGCCGGCTGCAGCGCACCGGCCACGGCGGCCACTGGAGGGTGAACCAATCCTTTCTCTCTGTCTCTCTCTCTCACTGTCCACTCTGCCTGTCAAAACACACACACACACACACACACACACACAAAGATCTATTTGAAAAATAGCTGTTTTATTAGGAACTTTTTGTACTCAAAAACACTCATTTAAAATAACAACTCACTTTGGGAATAAAATCATAATTAGACATGTGCAACTGAGTTTGCCACAATGAACACCTTTGGGATGTGCCAGAATAGGATTAGTTGCAATACACCTGCTTCCACAGATTTTGATATTACCCAGTTTCTATGCCCTCAGCAATGCCACCATAGGAAACCTGTGCACACACAAGCACCCCAATTTATTCATGGATATACCACACACACACAAACTCCAATACCCTTCCCTTCATTCAGAGATATTACAGATCCCCCCCAACACACTCACCCAAGGACACCCACATATTCATTCCAGACCCAGAGCACATACGGCTGTGTGCCCCTGCGTGAGAACAGATGAACTCCCCAGAGCCAGCAAGATCTGACACACATGGCAAACAGCAGAGCTGATGGTTATCAGTGCTCACTGTACACCAAGCATGAGCTAAGTGCCTCCATCTTGCGTACTTTATCTTAGTCCACTCAACTACCTGTAAGGCACATTTCTGATTATCCAGATTTTACAAATAGGAAGATTGAGCTACAGAGAGTTAAAATCACTGGCCCAAGGTCACACAGTGAGTAGGTGGTGTGGCATGCTGTCTGAATGCAAGGGTCAGCTGCTCCTGGAACAAAATTAGACACAATGCGGATCCCACACACACTTGTCACTCACTGGAACTCCTTGCATCTTAAATGTCTCACAGCCAAAGCTAAAACCTTGATTTCCCTTAAACCTGCTGCCCCTTCCCAGCTCCGCTGAAGCTGTCCCATCTCAGTCAACAGTCTTCAACACCCATCTTGTTTGCAAAAACCAAAAGCTGGGAGTTGTCTTGATTCCTCCCCGTCCTTCAGCCTTCACATTCAATTCCTCAGCAGATTCTCAACCCACCCAGAGCCTCTCTGCTGCTCTTCTCCACGCCACCGCCTGGACTGCTGCCTTAGCCTCCATGCTTCCTCCTCCCCTCCACTTTCCACACATCAGACTAATATTCATCTTTTTTAAAGATTGATTTATTATTTGAAAGGCAGAGTTACAAAGGCAGTGGCAGAGAAAGAGGTCTTCCAACTTCTGGTTCACTCCCCAAATGGCCACAACAGGCAGGGCTGGGCCAGGACCAAGCCAGGAGCTGGGAGCTGCTTCTTCTCTCCCTTGTGGGTGCAGGGACCCAAAGACTTGGGCCATCTTCTTCTGCTTCCCAGGCCATAGCAGAGAGCTGTATTGGAAATAGAACAGCCAGGACTCAAACCAGTGCCCATTTGGGATGCTGGCACCACAGGCAGTGGCTTTAACCGCTACATCACAGTGCAAGCCTTATATTGATCTTTTTAAAATATCAGTCAAATCATGCCATTCCACTACCCAAAACTCTCCACTGTTTTCCCAGTACTCTTAAATCCACACCTACCATCCTGGCCGTGATCTAAAATAGCCTCACCTTTACTTCCGGCTTCATCTGGTCAGTCCCCTCTGTAGTGCACCCTGTACGGTTACCCTGGCCACATTTCCCTTTCTAATTCATTCAACTCTGTGTCCAGCTTAGGAGCTGTACTCGTATTACTTAGCTGTTCCCTTTGCCTGGAGTGTTCTGACGGCACAGTTTGTTCATAATACATTTTTTTCATGAGCTTGTGGAATATCCCACAGATGCCTGAATTTCAAACTTTTTCTACAAGAAAGTAAACAGCTTTTAATCAAACATCCTATGAATTATTTGAAGCACTTTGTAGCCACATCAGCAGAGAGAAACACTCATTTCTAGCTCACCAGGTGTGCTCTGAATGATGTAAGCGTATGACACAGTTACCGTAGTTCTTGTGCTGCAACTCCGAGATGAAGTAGTGGATCACGGTCATGATGTCACTGCTTTCACAGGTGCTTCCCACAAAATGCGGGATCAGCAACAGGCCTGGATGTTTCTTTTTGAAATAATCCACCCAGCTGGCAAGCAGAGTGGATTTCCCGCAACCACGTTCTCCAGACAAGAGCAAAATAGACTTGTACGTTGGAAGATAATTCAGCCTGAAAAATAAAGCAGTAGAATGTAATCAAGAATATTTATCCAAAAGGGGGCAAGGGAGGGAGGAGAAAGGAAAAGACAGAGGCAGAGGAGGCCATTTTCCCATATACATTATGTCTCTAGAGACAGGAAGTTCCGGTTTCAACTTTGGCTTCAACTGTTTTCAAAGAAGTCATCCACCCTCTGGGCTTTCGTTTTGAAATCTGTGAAATACAGAGACAGACAGCAGCCTGAGAGCCCCATCCAGCTACACCGATCCTGGGGTTGTCCAACATGAACGTAGGGCCACATCAAGGGTGCAAGGCACGGGGAGGGAAACTCTCCCAGGCAGGTCCACTGCCCTCTTATCTGAGCTGCCCAATCCTTCCTCAGGTTACCATCACCATCACCACCCTGGCCCCTGGTGCAACATCACTTTGGAAGAGAATACAAAATTAAAACACTTACATGTCAAGAATCCCCACCAATCCTGATGGCCTCAAAATTAGAAATTCAACAAAATTCCATTAATTGGTAGACTTGCTGAGAAGTAGCCTGCACCTCAGCCAGGATGTGCTGGCTGGCAGTACTGCATAAATACGGTTTTTTCTACTGGCAAGGGGGCAGTGTAACCTGTATTGCTGCTTTATTTTTATGTTTTGGTGAAAAGTGAATGGATATACAGGGGACTCTCAGGACCATGAACATCAACACATACAGACTCTAGCTTTGTGCCCTACAGTTGTGACTCAATATATACATGTCTAGTGATTTTTCATTGACGTAAGCATAACAGGGAGGAGTTCTCAGACTTATCTTATTCACTGCTGTATATTTAGGGACTAGCACAGCACCTGACCCTGAATTGTTGAGTGAATGAATTAAGTCTGACATTCAGATTTACCAAAGCAATAACATGAGCCTGAAAATTCATTAAAATAAAAGTCCTACAGCAGGGTCACTAAATAAGCATTATTTCATAAAAATTCCATCTCCATTAATATGAATTTAAAATCAAATTTTCTATCTTTATTTAAAATCAAATTTTCTAATGGCTGGATTTGGTTTTGTACTCTTCTTCCATCTTTGCCCTCTTTCAGTCTATCCTCAGCTAAGCAGCCAGAGTGAGTCTATGAAAATACGTCATGCAAGAGAAGGTGCTCGGTGCAGTGACCAAGACACCACTGGGGACACCCACACACCACATCACAGTGGTTCAAGTCTCAGCTCCTCCACTTGCAATCCAGCTTGCTGATAATGCACACGTGAAGACTCAAACACAGACAGATCTGTCTGCCTTCCTTTAAAATAAAATGAAAATTAATTAAAAATTAAGAAGAGAAATGTCATCTAGGTAGGGGATCACTCTGCTGAAAACTAGTAAAAGCCCATGTCCCTAGAGTGACCATGTGAGGCCAGACAAGGCCATCCATTCCCTTCCCCCTCTCTCCCCTTGGCTTGACTGCCCTCCTTGCTCTCTCTGGCCCCCAGCCCCTGCCTGTGACTGCCTCTGTGTGCAGTGCTCCTCCAGTGCATATCTGCAGAGCTTGCTCCTCACCTGTTTCCAGCGGTTGCCCAAACGCCACCTTCTGAGGGAGGGCTTCCCTCGCCCTGCCAGATGGCCTGTTCCTTTTCAGTGTTTCATTCTGCTCCACAGCACTTGAAGTCCTCTAGCACACTACACGGCTGACCTATCTCCATGTGTTACCTGTGTCCGTAGCACGAGCTCCGTGGAGGCCACAGTGGCTGGCACCATTGCCCCAGGCTCATCACTCTCTATTGCAGTCCCCTCATGCACATGGCTACCAACATTCTTGTGGCTCTAGGAACCCACAGACCCTTACCCACAAATACAAATAATAATGCAGGCCACATCACTTTAACAGGCACTGGCTGAATATCTGAACATAATTAACAATGATCTGACAATGTACATGGAGACTCTTGGTAAACTATACAACATGATGATGATGATGATGATGATGCATCATTTCTATTTTTTTTAAAGATTTATTTATTTATTTGAGAGATAGAGTTACAGACAGTGAGAGAGAGAGAGACAGAGAGAAAGGTCTTCCTTCCGTTGGTTCACTCTCCAAGGGCTGCAACTGCCAGAGCTGCACCGATCTGAAGCCAGGAGCCAGGTGCTTCTTCCGGGTCTCCCATGCGGGTGCAGGGGCCCAAGGACTTGGGACATCTACTGCTTTCTCAGGCCACAGCAGAGAGCTGGATTGGAAGTGGAACAACCAAGACGAGAACTGGCGCCCATACGGGATGCCTGCACCGCAGGTGGAAGATTAACCTACTGTGCCACGGTGCCAGCCCCCATTTCTATTTCTTAACCTGATTTCTTCTCATTAAAGTCATTCCAACATTCTCAGAAATTATGTAGCCCAACTTTGATGCAAGGGTGAAAAAAGAAGCCCCCCCACCCCCACCCCCGCCGAAACCCCTCCTCAGGAGTTTATTTGATCTCCTTGTGAGGACACTGGAAGAAAGTATGTGAAATACCAGAAAATCTTCCAATGCAGAATGATATCTAATCAGGAAATTTCTACCCAGGGGTAGTTTTTAGGGGTTCTCTTTTATAGGAAGGAATGGGCAGAGAATAGAGAAAGTGAGGGGAACACATTGCAAATTGGGGGAATCTGATTTACCCGTCAAGCTGTTTCGCTTGAGTCCATGAAAAGGTTTGAGGTTGCTTAATATCTTACCTGAAGACCGGGTCTGAACTGGAACCTGCTGCTGAATTTTTTAAAACAAGGTCCATATCCTTCAAGGCAAATTTTTCCAAGATTTCAAAGGTCTTCTTTGGCTCCTTGGAAATAGCAACCGTTGCCTTACACTTCTCGATGAACTCTTCATGATAGAAACGTTCAAAGCTGTGCTTGTAGTCTTTACAGTCAAAAAAAGATACATTTTAGCATCTTAGATTTGTAGTTCCACATTTTCCATTGTACATGGTTATTATAAATGCCCAGGAAGGCATCTGCCTCTCTGTATTTATATTACCTTCTCACTATGTTGGGGCCACATATCACAGCCATCTGTATGTTCATGAAAGAAAACTGTAAGCAAACAATTTAACCTCCTTCATGCTACTTGTACATAGATTCCTGCTTGGGATTCCAAGTTATTCATGACCTCAGAATGACAAAGGCAAAAATATTAGACCTGCTACGTATATTTTGTCATCTTTTCAAATTGCTAGCTAAGTATGAAGTTATCTAGTTCAACCTTGTAGGGTATGTGTGTGAGTCTATGCATGGCTGAGGTTGGGGGAGTGGAGTATAATTTTAATAAGATGCCCTAATACTATGACACCCATCAGCATGGTTACAGTTCTGCTATTAGGCAAGTCCCTTAAACCCTGGTAACATAAGAGGGAAGGCTAGGCAATTGGGTGATCTCTGAGGTTCCTGCTGGTTTCAACTTACTGCAATTCCAATCTTGTTACCTAATTAAGTTCAGGGTTGTCTAGACTGCCAAAATGCCCTCTTGTCTCTGGAGATAACTACATCTCCTTGGTTTGTTTGGAGGGGAATAGGGGAAAAGGAAGTAGAGACTGGTATCAATATATACGGACAAAAAAAAAAAAAAAACATCAGCTATGTTAGCCTGATAAGTTCCCAAGGTACAGGGTAGACCTTGTACTTCTGTAGGTAACTAGGCTGCACCATGGTTCACGTATGGACTACAATAGACCTGGAAGAACTACAGCATGGCCAACATCAGCTTCAAGCTTCAAGATCTTAGATAAAATTTGGGATGAACTTGTAGGATGACAGGTCCCCTGAGCTAAACTTGAACCTTATCCACTAATCTCAGATATATTCAAGGACCTCCTAAGTATTTCTAAGGCTTAAGAGCACAAACTGGTAGCTCTACATTGCCTTACAATAACTACCAGCTTCCCAAATGGCCTCCCACTACCCTCACTATAGACTATGAGATTCTGAAGGTATCAAGGGATCAAAGGGTATGTAAAATCCAAAAGAAAAGCAATTCAGTAGTTTCTTCTAAAGAGTTTTTTATAATCCATCCATTTTGTACCTTATAATTCAGGTATTTAGTTTACATATGTGGGGAGCAACCCGGACTAGACTAAGTTACTGGAATTAAGACTTATTCTATGCATCTGCTCTCCCACAATATGGCGCTGGGAGAGGAGAAAACAGCTTTTACACAGCTGCCTCCAGTTCAGCCAATAAACTGTAGGACTTGCTCCTGATTGGAGGAGAGCAGCGTACTCGGCGTGTGGGCAGCCGAGCACGGATTGGCAGAGGAGGACTATAAAGGAGGAGAGAGACGGCATGCACCAGGAACATCTAAGGGGAACATCTAAGGGGAACACCTGTGCAGCCCCCGAGAGAGCCGGCCGGCGGTGTGCTGCTCCCCTGCGGAAGTGGGGAGAGTGGCCCGGGGGAACCGCCCTTCCACGGAGGTGGAAGGGACAGTAGCCAACCCGGGAAGAACCAGCAGCAAACCCGGGGAGGGCCGAGCAGACAAAAGAACAGCGCAGGGTCCTGTGTCGTTCCTCCACGAAGAGGGGGAGCGACAACATACATACATACACTAAAGAATAAAGTCTAAAATAAGCTTACCTTTCAATAATATTCAAAATCAAATGCTAGGGAGAACATTATGGAGAACCAAGTTGATCCAAAACCAAATACACAAAAAGACTTGATTCTTGAACATCCTAATGAATATTAATCAACTGGTACAATTCAGAATGTGATTTGTTAACGAATATTGGCCACACTTCAGACTCTAACCAAACACATGTGTTACCTCAGGACCCATTTTTATTTTTCATTCTCTTTAGCTATTGCTCTGTGTCCGAGGTGTGCCTGGCATTGTTTTGGAGTATTTTACATTATTACTATGTTCAAGGTGATTAATGTCAATCTATTTTATAGGAGAAACTAAGGATTCCCAATATTAAATAATTTTCTCACTGAGACCTGGAAAAATCAAGCATCTGAGGACATGTCTGTCAGATTCTAAAACCCCAAGGCTGTAATAAACATTTGGGATATTTACTTGACTGCCTCACCCTACCACAGTTTCCACAATAGAGCCTTAGGTCATCATTTGGGGTCCACCCACCGCAGTACTCAGTGAATGCTGTTCCAGCGAGTCTGATCCCACCTCTGGCTGCACAGCCGGCATATGACTCAGGATTAGCCAATCAGAGCATCACCCTCTCTCAGCACCAGTGACTGAGTCAGATACAAGCACATGGCCCAAGTCAAGCTAATCAGAGACAGACAGGCTCAGTTCTAGGGCTTTGGGCCATTTCTGCTCAACTTGAACCTGGAGCTGCTACTGTCAACCTCCTTCCATGAGGGAGGAGCCAAGGAGTTGATCCAGCATCAGGGCAGCAAAGACAAGCTGAGAAATAATGAAAAACCAGAGCCTGGTAACATCATGTGAGCCACTGGATGAAGCCTGAGCTGAACCAGACCTGGTCCTGGGCTTTGCAGCTGTGTAAGTTATAACTTCCCTTGTTCTTGAAGCCCATTTGAGCTGTGACTGGTAACAATATATTTTCCCAGGGTCCAGGACAATTTGGTTTTTAGGGAGAATTTTCTTTGAACAGCAAAAGTGGGTTTTCACCACCACCCCAACTCTTTGTTCCAAAGACTCAAAGGTGGGTCTACACGCTGGTTCACCACCAACCCATCTGCTCCTTGAAAATATTGGATCATGTACCACTTGCCACTATTTTGTATCTTCACATTAAATACCCTCTTACATTAACAATCCACAACCTTGTTTGGCCCATTAAACCGTCTAAGCATCTGACCAAAGATAGAGGTCACCTTCCCACCCCCATCCCCTACAACATACATGTGCATATAAACATTTTAATTTCTTTTTTTTTTTTAATTTGACAGGTAGAGTTATAGACAGCGAGAGAGAGAGAGAGAGACAGAGAGAAAGGTCTTCCTTCCATTGGTTCACTCTCCAAATGGCTGCTATGGCTGGCGCTGCACCCATCCAAAGCCAGGAGCCAGGTGCTTCTTCCTGGTCTCCCATGTGAGTACAGGGCCACCCTCCACTGCCCTCCCGGGCCACATCACAGAGCTGGACTTGAAGAGGAGCAACCGGGACTAGAACCCGGCACCCATTCTAATTTCTTTGACAGGCAGAGTGGATAGTGAGAGAGAGACAAAGGTCTTCCTTTTGCCGTTGGTTCACCCTCCAATGCCCACCATGGCTGGCGCGCTGCGGCTGGCACACCACGCTGATCCGAAGGCAGGAGCCAGGTGCTTCTCCTGGTCTCCCATGGGGTGCAGGGCCCAAGCACTTGGGCCATCCTCCACTGCCTTCCCAGGCCACAGCAGAGAGCTGGCCTGGAAGAGGGGCAACCGGGACAGAATCCGGTGCCCCGACTGGGACTAGAACCTGGTGTGCCAGCGCCGCTAGGTGGAGGATTAGCCTATTGAGCCGCGGCGCCGGCCCTAATTTTTTTTTAAAAAAAGATTTATTTATTTATTCGAAAGGCAGAGTTACAGAGAGAGAGAGGAGTGACTAAGATCTTCCATCCTCTGGTTCACTTCTCAAATACCCGCAATGAACAGAGCTGCGCCAAGCCAAAGTCAGGAGCCAGGAGTGTCTTTCAGGTCTCCCACATGGGTGCAGGGGCCCAAGCATTTGGGCCATCCTCTGCTGTTTTGCCAGGTGCATTAGCAGGAAGTTGGATTGGAAGTGGAGCAACCAGGACTCAAACCAGCATCCATACAGGATGTTGGCACTGCAGACTGTGGCTTATCCCACTGTACCACAACACCAGCCCAAACATTCTAATTTCATGCCATCTGAGAGGCACCATAGGTCCCCAGTGACATCTGTCTAGGTGAAGAATCTCTAACATACTTTGACAGTGCTCTTCCGTTTTTTGTTTTTGTTTTTGTTTTTTTTTTGTTTTTTTTGTTTTTTTTTTTTTTTTGGACAGGCAGAGTTAGACAGTGAGAGAGACAGAGAGAAAGGGCTTCTTTTTCCGTTGGTTCACCCCCCCAATGGCCGCTAGCCGATGTGAAGCCAGGAGCTGTGCCGATGCGAAGCCAGGAGCCAGGTGCTTCCTCCTGGTCTCCCATGTGGGTGCAGGGCCCAAGCACTTGGGCCATCCTCCACTGCACTCCCGGGCCACAGCAGAGAGCTGGACTGGAAGAGGGGCAACCGGGACAGAATCCGGCGCCCCAACCGGGACTAGAACCCAGGGTGCCAGCGCCACAGGCGGAGGATTAGCCAAGTGAGCCACAGTGCCAGCCAATGTGCTTCCCTTTTCAATCTGGTACATGTCCACAAGGCATCATTTTCAAATAATCTTTTCACTTAGCAGCAATATGCTGTCAGGTAGTGCTTTTCAAACTTTAACATGCATGCACCTGGTCACCTTGTTAAAATGCAATTTTTAATTCAGTAGACTAGGAATGGGGCTCAGAGCCTGCATTTTGAGTAAGCTCCCAGGTGATACTAAGGTTGCCAGCCCAGGGGTTACACTGTGAGTAGTAAAGGTTAGGGCAAACAGCCATGGATTTTAGTCGTGGGGACCTGGGTTCAAATCCTGGATTGGCCCCTCACTAGTTATATGACACTGGTAAGTCATTTAACTGCTACTATAGTAGCTTTCATTTGTCCCTCTGCAAAATCAGAGTTGCAGTAGGTATCTTGTAGGGCTCAGCCTTGAAGATCAAAGGTGACAATATATATAAAGTACCAAACAATTAGTAAAGTTCTCTCCCCTTCAGCTCAGGGTTTCTCAACCTTGGTATTGTTGACATTTGGGCTGGATAATGCTATACTCTGGGAGGCTGGACTGTACACTCTAGGATGTTCAGTGGTATCCCTGGCCTCTACCCACTCGACACCAGTAGCTCACCCCAGTGTGACAACCAAAGCTGCCGTGAGACATGGCAAATGTCCCTCTGGCAGAGGGGACACAATTCATCCTAGTTGAGAATCGCTGTCCTGGACCTACATGTTAACCATCAGATATTATTTTGGCTCTTCTCCAAACTCCTTAACTTCCTAAATAATCTTCCATGACCCATTATTTGCTCCTATTTTCAGTTTCCAAAATCTTCAAAACGGAAAAGCACAGGTTACAGGAATATGGGAATAATTTAAATGTGTAAGGAGTATTTCCAATCACTTAAAAACTCCATTCACAATGAAGACATACTCATAAAAAATATTAACCTTGGGGCCAGTGTTGTGGTGCTGCCACTTGCAACGCCCATGTGTCATTTAGGAGTGCTGGTTCAAGTCCCAGCTGCTCTGCTTCCAATCAAGCTTCCTGCTAATGCGCCTGGGAAAGCAGCAGCAGATGGCCCAAGTGCTTGGGCCCCTGTCACCTATATGGGAGACCTGGATGGAGGTCCTGGCTGCTGGCTTTGACCTGGCCCAGCCCTGGCTGTTGCAGCCAATTGAGAAGCAAACCAACAGAAGGAAGATACCTCTGTCATTTCACCTTTCAAATAAATAAATAAATCATTTTTAAAAATTAACCTTCTGCAGCTGCTAGACTTAGCTGTCTCTATGTTTGCTAACCTATATTATCCATCAGTAAAGTGGCTGGGCACAGTTTTTCTATCACAAGTGACCAGTCCTTGAGAACCAGCTCCCCCAGCTCCTGGAGACCGGCATAGAATCTGACCGGGAGCCCTTTGCTCATAATCGTGGCCTTCAGCTTTCCAATCTTCAGTTTCTCCTCCCTGGGGATCCGAGAGTCCGAGGACGGCTGCTGCACCTGCTCCTCGTTCTCCTTGGCTGAGGCCTTGGGCAGGGTGTCTTGAGTCCTAAAGTAAAAATACTGGAATGGGGATGGATTCAGAAATGCTGCTTGGATGATCTCAAACTCCATCAGGCTGCAGTCGTGGCACTCCAGGACCCAGGGATAGCCGTTTTGGGCCGCAACATAGAGATTTTGTTCTTTGTTGGATAACCGTGACAAGCCGACATCTTTGGAGAACAGGAAAGCTGAGTGCTTAGAGAGGAAGTCTCCGTAGGTGTGGCCCAGCAGGCAGATGAAAAAGGGCAAGCAGCTGCTCACGGAGTCGAGGCACAGCTTCAGCTGTTGGGCGTGGAGACAGGCGTGCTGCCTGCGCAGGCTGGCGGGTGAGGACCTGTGGGCCTTCAGCGCCGACCATCTCAGATCCACTGCTTTGAAATATGTGCCCCGGGAACTGCAAAGTTCATGAAGCTGAGGGAAGATGTTGTTGGCCAAAAAGTCTCTCTCTTCCTGAAAATCATGCAGAGCCGAGCAGATGTATGGCCGGATGGGTTTCGGGGGCTTTGAGATGAATTGGGGACGGCTGGGTGCATTCTCGCTTGCCTTCTGGCTCATTTCACTTTGCTCAGGGAAGACATCGTGGTCGGAAGGTAACAGTTTTCATCAGGGGGCAGCCACTGACCTGCACGGTTTTGAAGCCCTTTGGCTGGCTGTGTTGGCTATGAGCAGATGGACATCTTTCCCCAAAACTGTTTCTTTCCTGTTGACATTTGAGGGTGAGAGATGTCAGCCAATGAACAGACCAGAGTTTAAAAATAATGTAGCTTTAAGTCGAGACTGAAAAAGAAAACAGGCGTTATTTTAGGCTAACAGGCAGTCCTTGTCGCCCCTGCTCTAAGCCTTTGCGAACTACTGAGAACCACAGGAGAGTAGGCACTGGATGCAAGGCCCTCCCCTCTCCCAGCCCCGCTGCCCACTCCACCTCCCCAGGGCTCCTTCAGCCAACCACCACATCTGCACCCTAAGAATTTGGAAATTATGCAAGGGGACTTACTGACAGTGCAAAAAGGCACACAAGTCCAAAAAATGCAGGAATCTAACAAGCAAGGGAAGACTCACAAAACTGGGACCAGAAGCAGGAATGAAAATAGGTAGAGGGTTGGTCAAGACAGGGGGAACAAATCAAATTATCTAAGGGCAGAAGACCAGGAACACTGCTGGAAGCTGACAGACAAGCAAGTCAGGATCTAAGAACCTGAGTTCAGTGATACTTTTTAATCTTAAAGTACGCAGACTCATAGAACGTTCCATTTATCTACACAGGCTGGAAATTTAATTCCACTGAGCTAATGGAAAATACCCTCCAACAATGACATAGCTATGCCTGCAAGAGCTCAGGAAGAAACATTATAAAAACTACCTACTTTCATGAGCTTTTCCTTGATGCAACTAATTTCCATACAAAATGTTTCTTTGTTGTTTATGTCTGTTGCTTTCAATTGTGGAGAAATATAACTATCGGGTTATAAAGTATATTTGATTCATTTTTTATCACCTTCACCTGACAACAATGTTACAATGCAATACTTTTTAAAAACTATTAACTCTATTGCATTGAATGTTCTAATAATCCTATGACAGGTAAAAATATCAGCCTACTTTGTAGATGAAGAAACAAAAGTTCAGACAAGATAAGCAACGGGTCCACAATCATGTAGCTACTAAGAGGAGAGCCAAGATCTAAACCCAGGTCAGTATGACTACACACATGCATGTTGCAATGCCACTCTAACACTCTATATCAAGAAGACAACATTTAAAGATAAAAAAAAAGGAAAGAAAATATCGACTGTCTTAAAATGGTGAGATTATACAACACTGAGAAAGTCAAATTATCCATGTTTGCAGATGACATGATGTTGTACATGGAAAAACCTAAACACTCCACCAAAAAGCTGCTAGAATTGATAAACTAATTCAGTAAAGTTGCAGGTACAAAATAAACACACAAAACACAGTAGGCTTTTTGTATCCTAATGATGAGCTCACAGAAAGAGAAATCAAGAAAGAAACCGCATTCACAATAGCCACAAAAAAATCAAGTGTTTAGGAATAAATGTAACCAAAGAACTGAAAGATCTCTACAATTAAAATTATCCAACATTACTGAAAGAAATCATCAAAAACACAAAAAATGGTGATATTCCTCATTCATGGATCAGAAAAATCAATATCACTAAAATGTCTATATTACCTAAAGCAATCTACAGATTCAATCCAATCTATCAAAATACCAATGATATTCTTTACAAATTAGAGAAAGCAATCCTAAAATTCATATGGAATCACAAAAGACCCTGAATAGCCAAAGTCATCCTCAATAAGAAAAATCAAGCTGGAGGCATTACAATACCTATCTTCAAAGCACACTACAAAACTATAGTAACTAAAACAGCTTGGTATTGGCATAAAAACCAATACATATGTCAATGAAACAGAATAGACAGCTCAGAAATTAATCCACATACAAACACACAATTGACTCTTTTTTAAAAAGATTTATTTATTTATTTATTTGAAAGGCAGAGTTGCAGCAAGGCAGAGGCAGAGAGAGAGAGAGAGAGGTCTTCCATCTGCTGGTTCACTCCCCAGATGGCCACAATGGCTGAAGCTGTACCAATCCGAAACTACGAGCCAGGAGTTTCTTCTGTGTCTCCCACACAGGTGCAGGGGCCCAGGCACTTGAGTTTATCTTCTACTGCTTTCCCAGGCCACAGCAGAGAGCTGGATCAGAAGTGGAGCAGCCGGGACTTGAACCAGTGTCCATATGGGATGCCGGCACTGCAGGCAGTGGCTTTACCTGCTACACCAAAGCACCGGCCCCTCAACTGACTTTTGACAAAAGTACTCAGAACATACAGTGGAATTAGGATAGTCTCTTTAACAAATGGTGCTGGCAAAACTGGATGTATATATGTAGAAGAATGAAGTTAGATGCATGGATCAGAGACCTGAATTTAAGACCTGAGACTATGAAGTTGATGGAAGAAAATATAGGGGAAACACTCCAAGACACTGGTGCAGGGGAAAACTTCTTGGACAAGAACCCCATAGTACAGACAACAAAACCAAAACTAAATAAATGGGACTATATCAAACTCAGAAGCTTGTGTACAGCAAAGGAAATGACCAATAGAGTGAAGAAGGATACAACAGAATGGGAAAAAATATTTGCAAAACACCTATCTGACAAAGGATTAATATCCCAAATGTATCAGCAACTTAAAAACCTCAATATGGGGCTGGCACAGGGGGTTAAAGTCCTGGCCTGCAAAGCCAGCATCCCATAAGGGTGCCAGTTCAAGTCCCAGCCACTCCACTTCCCATCCAGCTCCCTGCTAATGTGTCTGGGAAAGCAGAGGAAGATGGCCCAAGTCCTTGGGCCCCTGCACCCACATGGGAGACCCGGAAGAAGCTCCTGGCTCCTGGCTTCAGATTGGCTCAGCTCCAGCCATTGCAGCCATTTGGGGAGTGAGCCAGAAGATAGGTGATGCTCGCTCGCTCTCTCTCTCTCTCTCTCTCTCTCCCCCTCCCCCTCTGCCTCTCCTCCTCCCTCTCCCCTTCTCTCTGTAACTCTGTATTTCAAATAAATAAAATAAACCTATTAAAAAAAAAAACCCTAAGTAACAAAATGAGAGTTATCTAAAGAAGAAATACAAATGGCCAACAAATATATGAAAAAATGCTCAACATCACTAGCCATTGGAGAAATGAAAATCACAATGAGACATCACCTCAACCCTGTCAGAATGGCTAAAATCTAAAACACAGAGAGTAACAAATGCTGGTGAGAATGTGGACAAAGATGAGCACTTAGACACTCTTGATGAGAATGTAAATTAGTGCAGTCACTATGGAAAACAGTATGGAGATTTCTTAAAACTAGAAATAGACTTGCCAGGGCTGGCACTGTGGTGTAGCATGTAAAGCTGCTTCCATATGGGCGCCAGTTCAAGTCCCAGCTGCTCCATTTCCTATCTAGCTCTCTGCTGTGGCCTGGGAAAGCAGCAGAAGATGGCCCAAGTCCTTGGTCCCCTGCACCCATGTGGGAGACCCAGAAGAAGCTCCTGGCTCCTGGCTTCAGATCAGCACAGCTCCAGCCATTGTGGCCAATTGAAGAGTGAACCAGCAGATGGAAGACCTCTCTCTCTCTCTCTCTTTTTCTCTCTCTTTTTCTCTCTCTCTCTGCCTCTCTGCTTCTCTGTCTCTCTCTGTCTAACTCTGACTTTCAAATAAATAAATAAATAAATCTTAAAAAAAAGAGAAAGAAATAGACTTGCCATATGATCCAGCAATCTCACTACTGGGTATGTTCCCAAAAGACTTGAATACAATGGATCAAAGAGATACTTATACTACCATGTTTAAAGTGGCACTGTTCACAACAACAACCAAAATTTGGAATCAAGCAAGGTGTCCGTCATCAGATGAATGGATAAACAAAATATGGTATATATACACAATGGCATATTATTCGGCCATAAAAAAGAATGGAATTCTATCATTTGCAGCAAAGTGGATGTAACTGGAGGACATCATGTTTGATGAAATAAGCCAGACACAGAAAGACAAATACCGCATGCTCTCCCTGATATGTGGGAGCTAAAGTTTAAGAAACAAACAAAAAGAAAAATAAAGAAATGTCTGTATGTATCAGTACTGCTGTAAATATAGTTTTGTAAAACTTTGTTTTATACCTTTGTGAAACCAAGGATTAAGAATGTTATACTACTGGGGCCAGTACTGTGGTGTAGCAGGTAAAGCTGCCACTTGCAGTGCTGGCATCCCATATGAGTCCCGGGTCGAGTCCTGGCTGCTCCACTTTCAATCCAGCTCTCTGCTATGGCCTGGGAAAGCAGTAGAAGATGACCCAAGTCCTTGGGTCCCACATGGGAGACTTGGAAGAAGCTCCTGGCTGGAATGACTTCTCTCTCTCTCTGCCTCTGCCTCTCTGTAACTTTGCCTTTCAAAACAATAAATCTTTTTTAAAAAGTTACACTACTATACTTTTAATAATGTTATTACTTTAAAATTTACTGTATATATGGATTAAATGGTCATTTTTCCATTTAATTGTTGTTTATAGCCATTGCCTATATTATCACTAAACTAGAGTCTTTTTGCTTTTTACTTGTTAAGCTTCTTATTCAATGAAGTATTTAGCCTTTTTATTGTAATGTGAATTTATTTTTTTAATCTGATTTCTTTTTTTAAGGTTTTTTTTTTTAATTTATTTGAAAGGTAGAGTTAGAAAGGCAGAGACAGAGAGAGAGAGAGAGAGAGAAAGGTCTTCCATCTGTTGGTTCATTCCCCAGATGCCCACAATGGCCAGAGTTGCACTGATCCAAAGTGAGGAGCCAGAAGCTTCTTCCATGTCTCCCATGCAGGTGCAGGGGCCCAAGTGTCCAGGCCATCTTCTACTGCTTTCCCAGGCCATAGCAGAGAGCTGGGTCAGAAGTGGAGCAGCCGGGACTCGAACCAGTGCCCATATGGGATGCCTGCATTGCAGGTAATGGCCCTACCTGCTACACCACAATGCCGGCCCCTGTAATGTGAATTTAAAATATGTTATCTCAAAAACGAAAGAAAGTAAGAAAGTAAGAGAGAAAGAGAGAGAGAGAGGGAAAGAGGGAAAGAGGGAGGGAGGGAGGAGGGAGGAGGGAGGAGGAAAGATAGTGAGAGGGAAAGAGAGGGAGGGAAGGAAGGAGGGAATATCATGTTCTTAGAATTGCACCTACAATCATATTACATCTATTAAAAAGTAATAAAAAGTGAAA